TATATATATATATATATATATATATATATATATATATATATATATATATATATATATATGTATATATTATACATATGCATGTTTTAAGATAATATAAGGAGAATATTAGCAAAATAAAAGGAGAATTACCTCTGATTAAAATAATGCGATAGCGACCATGTTGAATGACTAAACCACAGAACAAAAGACAAAAAAAACACTGCACTCTCTTTCTCTCTCTTTTCTAGTTACAGACTTTTCAGCCAAATCTCTAATTTTCGTTTCTTTACTATATAAGATTACAACTATTGTCTTGTGTAATGAATAAAATAAGGCCTTGAAAGATTCCAAGACAAGTTCCCAAAAATTACAAGATTCAAACACGTCTTGTCGTAACAGCGGTTAGGCCAGAACTTAAGAATAGAGCACATGTCTCCTCTATGGGTGCGTTCAGATTCCCTACCCGGGTGCACTCTATTACTAGAAACACTATAGTATATGTTACATATACTATAGCACTTCTAGTATTAGAGTGCACCCGGGTAGGGAATCTGAACGTACCCTATAATAAGCCATATAGGATAACGTGTTTGGTCGAGCCCTTGCGCATGGCGGAGACATGTGGTCTGTTCTTTTTAGCTGCACTAATGAAGTGCTGGTGCAGTTAAAAAGAACAACTTTGATTGTGTTCCAATATTCATTGCAAATTAAGAAAAATTTATAGGATATGTAATATAAACTATAAATTTTTTGGCAGTGAATATCGGAACGCAGCCCATATATATATTCTAATAGCGTATTCGCGTATTTCTTAAATTCTGAAAATGATTGACTTTAAGTCGACTTATAGTCGATATAATATTGCGAATAACATTCATGTCATTTTATTCAGGTCTTTAATTAATTCTTTTACTTGTAATGCGTTCGTTTTGTAAACCTTGAGTTTTTATATCACTGAAGAGGATTCATGATTGAGCCGAAACGTTTAATTATTTATATTGAGTATTCATGTTCAATAAATATTGCTCTATTTCCTAACACAAGGAAGGTTTTACCCATATGGTACATAGCACTATTAATCCTGTGCTTGAATTCGAATTAGCCCTTTTTCCTATTATTTAATATAAATACGATATAGCATATGATGTTCAGATTAGATCATAAAAGATTGAGTTTATGGTTTAGAATCAAGTCGAGTGTTTTTATGTAAATTTATGCTGGTATGAAAAAAGAGATTACAAAAACTCTAATAACGTTTGTGATTCTCGTGATTAGTAGTAATTCATATGCTGTCGCCTTCTCGCGCTCTATATTAACCTCTTAACGCTCGTTTTTTTTCGAAAAAAACCAAAATAATCATTATACACACACACACACACACACAGTTTTATGATACAGAAAACAAAATTTGAAATCAGTAAAACTGGGTTATGATTTATAAAAGTTACACTAAAAAATCAGCTTTGGATTGGGGCTTTCTACATTTAATCGGCACCAAATCCTTCCTGCATTCAAAGTTTTGTCATCAAAACTATCCAAACTATCAGAACTATATTTTGATTTCAGAATCACTAGAATCTGAATTGCTTTCCGATAAATTGGCATATTCAAAATCATTTGTATCGGTATCATTGTCCCAATTTTTTTCTAAAATAAGTAATAGTAAAAAAATAAGTTTTCTTACAATAAAATTATATTATACTTATATATAAGTTTAGTAGAAACTTTTTTGCATTTATTTATAAACATGCAAAAACGGATTTTATTTCACCACAATGCCCCACGTATTTGGTATGTTAATCGCTCCAATGTTTCTAAGAAACTGAATAGTAAAGCGCACAAACCCGTCCACTTATGATCACGACAAGTTGATGCATGAGTTTAACACGTGTTCGAACAGACACGTTTACGTGTATTTTAATAGCACAAATTTTAAAGTCGCCCGAATCAAACTCGGGCGTGAGCAAATCTGTCAGTTATCCGCACCCGAATGTGACTTGTTTATGAGCATTAAGGAGTTAATATTATATTTATTAATCTGTTTTTTTTTCAGACTTTATTCATTCATTTAATCTTGAATATTTCAAATTCAATCAAGTCGTTTTTCAGGACGAAGATATGGCATCCGCGAACGAAACGCGTAAAACCAATTCGACGGACGGCTGCAATAAGACCCGCAGGAATACTGTTCCCATAATTCACGTTCGTGGCACCCATTACGAGATCGGTTTCGACATCGTAAGATATTATTTTACACCTGATTTTACACCTAATTGTAAGCGGTTAATGAACAATTCGAATTTGAAACTAACTTTTGACGTAGTTAATTAGATTTTAATTGACTTTGAAATTTTCGACTTCGACTTTCTTTATGAGCAAACAGGTCCAAAGATGTTGACAGATTGTGCCTTTTCTCTCTTTCTCTCTTTTAATTTCTGAATCTAATTGAACATTAGAGACACTAATGAACACCTGTCTGATTGTCAATTAGATTTATAGCGACAGGCAGTATTCTTATCGAATGCAAGTAGCTTATACATAAATCATAAGTGTACAATCCATATACAAGTAATCTCCGTCGCCAATAGACCTTGCAATTTCTTATATGTATTTATATGTATTCGATCTCGAGCCGAACCAGAGGAATGAACTTCGATATATCTCGTGTGTGAGTTATCGCACAGTGATTTAATAAAAATGCACGCGGATAATCGGGATCAGTAAACAGAGACAGGACTCTGATAAATGGGTGAAGGAGTAGAAGGAGCGAGAAAAGGAGGACGGCCGTTGTTGCGACAACGTTCACCCGGATCAAATTCTTGCCGCTTTACGTATATATATGTGTGTGTATCAAGAGCGCGGTAGTATCTCGCATCAAGTGAATGCACAAAGCGAGAAACGGATGTGAGATCGCGCTTATTTACGTGACGTCTCTAGTTCAGCGGTGACAAGATTATCATTATCGTCACACTTGATCAAATTGAGTTTTAAGTAGTCTCAATTTTTCAGGGTCTAATTACATGTAATTTTAAGGAACTTTAAACATATCTTTCTGTTTCGAATAATGAAGTTTAGTAACAACATACGTTATATTAATATTTACTACAGAAATGGGTTTCATATATATGTACACACACACACATATATATATATATATATATATATATGTGTGTGTGTGATTATTTTACTATATACTTATAGTCACATTTTTTACATGTACTGTCACGTTTTTAGGATTAAAATTCTTTTTGCGCAGGGACGCACTTTTGCCAAGATGATCCAGAACTTTGTAGATATCTATCCGCCGCTCAACGACACTTACCTACCTCTGTTCGCGACCGAGGAGGGCAAAAAAGTTTACAAAGAGACCCTTGACGCGGTGAAGAAACAATTTCCACAATATGTGAGGGAGATTGAAGGCACTGCGGATGGCGCAAATGTACCATTCAGTAAGGTATGCTTCTTGCAAGAAGTAGTCCTCTAATTGATCAAGAACTGAGAATCAAGCTTCAATTTCTTTCAAACTAAATTTCAAATCCGTTGCAGCTGTTTTTAATGCATCTCGACGATATTATCTCAAATGTCACCAGTGGAGCACAAGGAATCGCACTTCCAATCGGCTGCTCGACCATTATATGCAATCAACCGGGACAAGTAAGAGTGATAATAAGTTAAACTAGATGTCATAGCGTAACTCACTGTATAATGAACGCTTTGCTCACCGAGGTAAGGAAATATCTCTGGCGTTATCGGATTTTTCGCAATTGTCTTTCACTCGTCGACTTCGAGGGCGGAGCCTATGCTATTACTTGTCGTCTCATTATCTGATCTCCTAATTATCATAATGAGCATCTGTTGTGCATATCTTCATTGTTCCGTTATATGTAAGTGATGTTTTCCGAGATTTAAGTATGTCTATTCAGATACGGCCAGTGGGCAGTGCCAATTGCGTCCTCTGCAAAACGACAATGACTATGTGAAGTAATATTATTCATATTTTTTATTACAATTTCCATTTTCATCTTATCTCACCTGAAACGACCACGAGCATCGCTTCATGTAAAGAAACGCGAAATAACTAACGTTATCTCACAGCGATGCTATGTCAGCAGTATTTGTCGCCGCTGATATTTCTACGTTTTAAGATATGTGCGACTGATATGCGATGATATTTATTCATCTTCATATCTTCCATTTGATTTTCCTTATTACAAACATACATACATACATACACACACACATGCATATATATATATATATATATATATATACACATACATGAATTACTCGTCTATCCTGTTTCGTTTTCACGTGACATGCGCTTGATGAAAAGCACAGGAAATCTTGGGTCACAACGAAGACGCTCTCAGCGAGACTATGAACCACTGGTATCTCGTAAGTGCCCACGTCGTGGAGGCCGGCTACAGAGAGGAGAAGTTTACATCACTGAGTTACGCCGGTTTCCTGCCGGGATACACAATGGGTTTCAACCATCACGGCCTCGTTTATAGCATCAACACCCTCAGTGCCGCGGTCCTGCGTTCCGGCAAGACTCGTGAGTCTCTTTTTTTTCAACGTTTCAACCGGATGCAATAGCGTGATTTTTGGAATGTCCGAATTTTCTAAAACGTATGTCTACTTGCGCAGCACGATATTTCTTGACGCGGGCGCTGCTGGGAGTGGAGAACTTTGTGCAGGCACAGCAGACGCTTAGGAACGAGGGTTACGGTGCAGCGGAAGGCTTTTCAGTGAATATGACGTTTCTTGCTCAAGAGGGCGACCGGATGTTTCACAACGCCGAAGTGGGTCCGGCCGAGGCGGACGCCGCCCGGTCGCAGCTCAACATCTTGACTATCAGCCCTGGCGAGAACACGTCGCATTGTAACAAGTATGTATGCTATATAGAGTCACGTCGTATAACTGCCGACGAGTTTCTCACACGTAGTCTTGGAAACAATATGTTCACCCACGACATTCCAGATACCTACGGCTAAAGGTGGCCGAGGTCGAAGGAAGCATTATATGTAGCAGCGAGAGAAGGATGGCGACAATCTCCAAGTATCCACCAGTCGAGTGCCGTCAGAATGTGATCGATATCCTTAGCGATCAGACGGACGACGAGTTCAGAGTCTATCAAGAGATCGATCAGAATGATCCCATCAAAACGCTCGCTACGGGTACGTTTCGTTTGCTTTGAAGTATCCTGTGAGTTCTACTTTGGACATTAGAGACTGAGGATTGCGAATTGAAGATTGAAACTTAATCAAGCAGGATGAATAGGCGAGTTAAAATCGAAATTGATTGATTCGTCGAATTCTTATCTCTAACTCGCAATCGGCAATATATTTCCAATATATCTGATATGGGCTTTAATCGTCGATCTTAATGGATGGTTCTTAGTAAAACTGACACTGCGTTAGGATGAATACGATGACAAATGTTACAGATGAATCATTTTAATGTTCAGAATTTTTCCATCGCGATGTTCAGAGATTGAAGCTAATTAATATGCAAAAATCCAGTTTTATCCGCGTTTCTCAAATGAGTCAGAATTCGCTTCGCGGAATTAATCATAAAGGTTTTCGAGCGCTTTGCGAACTCACGGGATTATTAATTTATCATAGGCATTTTCGACTGCGTCGAGAGAACATGGTCAATCTATACGGACAAGCCGCAATGCAACGAGCCGATACTGGTGATACCCATGGAATTACGGAATCCAGTGGCACCATACGCCAAAATAAAGAAATAATTCCATCCTTCGCTTTTTTCATTTAGAAAGAATTGTTTCCGTTATCGGAAGAAATTACACCGTAAGTGTTCCGGAGTAACTCGTATTAGACGTATCGCGTGCTACGCAATAACAGTATGTAAGATTAATACTTGTCATAATGTGTAATTAGCCGAGTCTGTGCGAAATTGTTTGCTGACTAATGTCGGTGGAACCGATAACAGAAAAGAAAAGATTAAGATCATATTCACATAGAAGTTACGTAACGTAACGATAACGTAAATAACGTTACGTAACGTAACGTTACATAACGTAATGAGATCGAAGAGAATATAATTCGACCACGAGATATCAACGTCGATATATACAAGTGTAAGACGGATCAAAAGAAAAATATAAGTAGAACACATAAAAGTGAACAAAAATTGTATAGGTCATTTTTCAAACAACCACGTAAAATTTCGAGATATTAATTAAAATAGTTGAGCATATCAGAGTGCGGCGACACGGCAGGCGGGACATACGGCTTGCAGCGGTCGGCGAAGAAAATGGAAGAACGCACACACGGAGCTACTCATTTCAGTATGCCAAACGGCCTACGGCTCTCTACGAGCCGTATGTCCCGCCTGCCGTGTCGCCGCACTCTGATATGCTCAACTATTTTAATTAATATCTCGAAATTTTACGTGGTTGTTTGAAAAATGGCCTATATAATTTTTGTTTACTTTAATGTGTTCTACTTATATTTTTCTTTTGGTCCGTCTTACGCGGGACACCCTGTATAAAGGAAATCAGCTTAAAAAATGTCGAAAGTAGTGTAATTCTTATGCTCTTAAGACCTAATAAAAAGAAGAGGCCTCGTCATGTTTATTCCACTAAATAATAAATTTTTTTCTTAATTCAAAAACTATCCGCACTTCGAATTTTTGTTTTTGATATGAAAAATCAAGTGTGATATCGTGTCTGTACTTTCCTTCTGGAGAGAGGGGTGCACAGTGTGTGTATAGTGACTCCATATCACTTACGATTCACACAATTAATAAAAAAATACAATTTATACATACAAGAAGAGGATAGAAAGAGGAGTATTTGTACTATTTCGTAATTTCATCTTTAATTTCTTGATATTTTTGTGTTGTGAGTACATTATTATTTAGTAGTCTCGTGGAATCGTCCAATTGATTGAGAAATTCAACGCAATAAGTTCCAGTAAAAAACAAAAGAAAGCGATGTAAACGGTGACAGATATATCTCTTTTGTTTTCAGACGACACTGGCATAATAGGATGCCAGAATACAAGTAACAATTGCAGCTTTACCCAACGCTACGCGCTAAAAAACTTAAGCAACTGGTTGTTAATCTTGTTGCCGCTCTTAATTAAATAAATGTACAAAATATACCGCTCCTCTGCATCTTAAATGCAGATACTCTGCACATTTCTTTTCTTAATTTTCTTTCGTATTTTAATTACATTTTATTATCCTTGTTCCTTGTTTGTATTTGTAATTGTGTGTTCGTCGCGCATCATTGCGCAAAACAAAGTTCTTAGTAAACCGATGTAATTGCATACATTTCGAGAGCAATATTTATTGAATTATAATATTTAAATAGGTATTTAAATACGGTGCGCGAATTTGAGGTTACAATTTGTCAAGGTATGCGCTCAGGTCTGGGAGACCCTCCTTCAATCCCTTTCTCTTACGAGTATCCTGCAAAAGTACAATATTATTAGCAATTTGATAGGACCTGATGAGCAATTTTAAAGTATATGCGACGTTTCTGTTTGAATGTAAAGTTCTTTTATGGTGGAAGTATATAATCTGTACGTTTCCCTATTCAGGCAAGCCAGAACATTTCACTGGAATACCAAAACTAAAAAACGATTTCTCTCCCACGAGTTAAAAAATGGCAGCACATCGAATAGTTGCCGTCACCAGTTATTTCGTGGTAGTAAAAAGCAACAATAAAGAAACAGAGAAAAGGACGAAATTCGTACCTGCACCACTTGGTAAGGTCGAGAACTGGGTTCCATCGGGTCACCCGGCAGAATTTGCCAATGATCGAACACGCACTGTGGGAAGGCCTGGCCGCCGGTGTTGGAACGCAGATCAGCGGTGAAGCCGAAGGATTCGTTTACTGGAAGGTAAGCTTTAACTACGAACATAGGAGTGCCCGCAACTTGTTGCTCTTCAAATACATGACCTCTTCTACGATTCAGCACGCCGTAAATTCCACCGACCGCTGTCTCCGGACACTGCGAAATAATTCCAAGTTAGATTAGATTGTCTTGTCTGTGCTTTGGTCACTACGGTCACTACGGCTTTTCAAGAAAAAGTACAAATCGAGGCAATGACTATATGCGTGTGTTCTTAAGGTGGTACGACATCTCGATGACTCACTTGAATTTCGCATAAGTAAACGGGTTCCATAATTCGGGGTGAGGCAGTGAGAAGACAGGCGTAAAGGCAACGTCTTGTGGTAGGGATAATTTGACCACCACCTCTGTGGATCGCGTCCGCATGCAGCGTCACGTCGAGAATGTTGAAGCGTACACCTCTCAGGTTCTCTTCCGAAAGAACACCCTGTAACGTACGTGAGTTAAACGTTATCGTTGACAGTGAGCAATCTAAAAAGCCGACATACGATATTTATTTCTCTACACATTTGTACCTCTTTTGTCGCCCATTGGAATCCAGCCACTACGGAATCCTTGATCTCGTTGAGATATTGTACACCTTTCGTGCAGTCAACCAATATGTTAGGTCCGCTACCGTCTGGACCGAAGCACCAAATTTTCCTGGCTTCCGTCACATCGTAATCATATTTTTCATTCAAATAACGAGCGCGTACTTTGAAGTCATCGCGCGGATTCACATCACCCTGCGAAATGTCAAAAGATGTAATTTATTTTTAGCTTGGAGCATCGGAGAAAGATATACATGTACGTGTTGGTTGATACCAAGAGCAAAACTGTCAACATTGCCAGAACCATTCTGGCTTTCTTGCTCGAGTGTATTATCTTTCACCATGTCTTAATGAAGAAATACAATAATTATCAATTAATGATTTAACTTTCAAGAAGAAAAGTTGAACTTACACCATCGATATCTTCGGCAAGACCATCAGGCATCGGACAAGCCATCATGAATAGACGATTATGCTTGTTCGGCGATTTCGACAGACACATCTGATTCGACTGCTCCGAGATCGTTTCTCTGTACGACACAACAGGATCGGACTTCTTGATCGGTATACACGCGTGATCCTCCTCGAGATCCTTTAGACAAATCTCGAGATGTAATTCTCCGGCCCCAGCGATAATGTGCTCTCCTGATTCTTCGATAATGCACTGTACCATAGGATCCGACTTCGCTAAACGCTTCAGACCTGCGGAATGAATCCGATAGAAATTAATTGTACAAATGCAAATGCAAACGAAATACAGAAATATAGTTGGAAATAAATATAATCAGATGGAAAAAAATGAAATCATGGTTTTTCATAACCCAATGCTCTAATTAGTATCATCATGTAATCTCGATCAATTGGGGCTCACCGACAGTTCCACTTGTCCATTATTTGCAAGTAAAAAGCAGTGACTTACCTTCGACCAATTTTGGCAGATCGGCAGGATTTTTCGGTTCGACCGCGACACGCACGACCGGCGATACGGAGAACTTCATGACTTTCATGTTGTGCGCATCTTTGAATGTCGTGATAGTGCCGGTCTTGACTAAGAACTGATCCACGCCGACAAGACCGCAAATATTACCTGCACAACAACATCAAAGGAACAATTAGCGTGTATACCACGTACAATGCGATCCAGATTTCTTTTCTATTTTCGTCAGTCGGCCGTTCTTGTGTCTATCACTAAACTACTCAGAACAGGTCTGTGTGAACAATCATCAGATGTGTACAATCTCGACAGAAAAATTACATTAGACAGCGGATGAACACGAGATACTAACCAGAAGGCACATCTTCGATAGCTTCGACGTAACGGCCCATCATCAGGATGGTACGCTGGATTGCTTTCTCATAGAGATCCTCCTTCTTGCCCGGTTGGAAGTTGGGTCCCATGATACGAGCCTTCATTCCAGTGGACACTTTGCCCGAGAACACACGGCCGAAGGCGTAGAAACGACCTTTGTCCGAAGTCGGTACCATTTTCGAAACGTACATCATCAGCGGTCCGTTCGGATCGCAATTCTACGGGAGAAAAGAGAATTCCGTAAGTATGAACCAGTATAATTTATCCACGTTATCTTTTTAAAACGCGTGCAAATCAGTATTTCATTCTTCTACCTCTCGTTCAGTACAGGTCTGTGAAATAAATCATCATGCGCATTCGCTTCGCGAGTGCTTAGCAAAAGGTGGGTGTACGTGTAACGAACCTTGATACCAATGGCAGCCTCATCATCGAGCGGACCCTCGTACAACATCTCCATACGATATTTCTGAGCGGTTACAGGAGATGGCAGATGAATGGCTATCATCTGAAGCAGAGCCTCTCCAGCGGGTAACCACGTTCTCATGACGACCTGGAAGAATCACATACGATGTGGTGAAACATTCAAGAGATATATAAAACATTATACGCGTCGTATGTAAAACTGTACTCAGAATAATTTATACTTTGGAATCCCTCATTATAAATCAGAAGAGGTGTCAGAAAGAAAAAGTAGTAATCATCATTGTGTAGGTTAATGCCGTGCTCTTATCCATGAAACGAACGAAATATTAAGACTTACTTTCAGTAGAGCTTTCCCATCTTTGTCCTTGTCTTCGGGTTTCAACACGATACCCAATTTCTGCAGAAGATTGTCTGCCTCCTCTTTCTTATAATTCATTATACTATCGAACACCTGTAGATTCATATATTTAAATTTAATTTTCGACTGTTCTTAGAGCGGTAATCTCGGTAAACAACATCGATTTCACGTCGAAGATCGTACCTTGTAAATTGGGTCTAAAACGTACATGCAGAAGGACCGTTTATTATCGGCTTCCTTCTGCTTGCTCCATTTCTTGGTCTTGGGATTAAAGAACGATTCGCCCCACAATCTGTTCATGAGTTTAACCACGTCGATCTTGAACTTCTCAGCGTACATCTCGGAGAACTGTTTCAGGGTAAAAGCCCAACCGTGGAGACCGGAACCAAAACCTACGGAGCCTTTGCTGGGATCTACCTGTTTCAAACATACACTTACATCGCTACAGCAATTATGTATTGCGATCTCGCAAAGGAGGTTTCGTTTCACTTACTCGAACTTCACCCATAGGACCGTCGTCGTCGGAATATGTCGCGATAATAACGTTGACATTCTCAACGATACGTTGGAAAGTCTGGTAAAGATCCTCACTATCGAGTTGAAGCTCTAATAGCGCGCGATCCATCTTATTCATGAATAAAACAGGCTTGATGCGTTCAGCGATCGCCTGACGGAGTACAGTTTCGGTTTGCACGCATACACCTGAACAGAGAAAGATCGACGAATGATTACAGTCATCTCCATTCTCAGGAAGTTGTCATCACGTTACACTATTTCTTCACTAAGAATGGCCTTATAATCGTATTTTGAAAGGACATGACCATATATATGCATATCATAAAGAATCCCAAGAAGGATGGCTGTAGCATTTGTGTCGTAGCATGTTAGTAACGGACATAAGGATAGAGGCCCACTAACAGCGTTTAAACACATCTGCTGCACTTCACTCTTCTTCCATTGCACTGTCAACACTGTCAGTGTATATCGGTCAATTTATTGCAAACCAAGCGACATACTACAGAGTAACCCTTGTGTGCTGGAAGAGCGATGTCCCTTACTTTATCACCCGACCCCCCAATCTTTGCAATTTACCGAAGAAACTAATATCGTGAAGTGGATGATAAGAAAAATGATAAAACACATACCAGATACACAATCAACAACGACGAGAGCTCCATCGGTAACACGGAGGGCGGCTGTGACTTCGCTCGAAAAATCTACGTGTCCGGGTGAATCGATCAGATTAATCAAAAAGCCTTTTTCGTCTTTGTCACGCTGATCGGGATTTGTAATAAAGACTAAATCTTTCTCTTCGAGCTCAAAGAACATGGAAATCGCACTAAAAACGAAACCAGAACGGAGTAGTGAATGACGCATTAACGCATGGTAATAATGAGCAAATGTAGTAAGATTCAACGCATATCAGAGAAGTGATGCTTTTACTCACGTAGATTTGATTGTAATACAACGTTCTTGCTCGTCCTTGCGCGTGTCGGTGAATCGGGTCTCGCCAGCCTTGGCGCCGGCGATAATGCCGGCCTTGGAGACTAGGGAGTCGGTCAGAGTTGATTTCCCGTGATCGACGTGCGCTATGACAGACATGTTTCTGATGTTCTTTTTCTTGTCCATCATGTCACGGATCTCGTCTACCGTAAAGTTCACCTGCAACATTATATTTCCACTGTCAAATCCTGTGTCTTGTATGACAATAATCGATTGCGCAATGGAAATTAATTTGCAATTTAGGAGCAATGGATACTTGTGAGTGAACGGGCATACAGATAAAATATACAGCCTAGCTGTGTAACTTGTGTAGAAGATGCATGTAACACTTGTGCCATAGCATATTAGTAATGGACATAAGGATAGAGGCCCACTAACAGCGTTTAAACACATCTGTATTTTGTTCTTCTTCCATTGCACAGTCAACACTGTCAATGTACATTGGTCAGTTTATCGCAAACCAAGCGATATACTACAGAGTGACCCTTGTGTGCTGGAAGATACTGCATAAATTAAACTATACCATTTACTTCAATCTTTATAATTTGCCCCAAAAAATGTTATTGTGAAATGATAATGATTGTTATACAAGTCACACATTTACCAGACTATTGCAACATATTGCGATATTGGAAAGGAATAAGTTCTTTGGCAATTATATCAAAAATACGGAATATTGATGTGCAGAATACACAAGAATTACAGTGTACTCTATGAAATCACATTTAATTCTTGCACGATCAAATTTGTTCGCGAGTGATACCTAGAATTGAACTTTGTTACTAACCATATTGAAACGTGCACTATTCGACCAAAAACTTCAATGCGCGAAAACATTTAGTCGTGCCAGTAGACGTGACGTTCGCACGTACGGCGTCCTATTGTCCCGACACGCGCTATTTGTCGGTTGTGAGGTTCTCCCATGATACTTAGATACGGTCAACTTGATTTCGTGCGCAGGTTCCCGATCAAGAGAGTATCGCTGACGAGTCGACGCACTCCCGGGAATTTTCGAGAGCGAAAGGAGAGAGAGAGAGAGAGAGAGAGAGAGAGAGAGAGGTAGAGAGAGAAAGTAAAAAGAGAGAGGGAGAACGATGCTGGGGGGTAACGAGCACGTTGCCTCGCGCGTCGGCAAGCTCTCTCTTGCACATAGCATGCTTCATGACACGTTGCGAATGCAGCAACGAAACATATTTCCGCTCGCGACGTATTCGCCACTTAATACAACGATTGCGGAATTTTCAGTCCGGCGAGTGTTTCTCGCGATGGATTGTTCCGCGAATCGACGGATCCTCCGGATGCCCGGACGTGGACGCGAGAACCATTCGTGGAACAAATTGCGCAATCCGGAGTAATCACACCGTTCGACCGGGGACCCGTCGAGAGCGCAGAGTGGAGAGGAGAGGAGAGGAGAGACACGCATTGAGAGAGCGAAGCGTTTTCGGACTCGTGCAACGGCCTCGCGGTACGGCACGCAACGTCGCCGTCAAGCAAAAATATTCGTCGTGGCGCGGACGCGAGGATGACGAGCTGCGAACGCGGTGACGGCGTCGCAACGCGGCTACATACCATTTTGGATGTCGTCCGATTACAGATAGCCTGGTCAGGAATATACGTGTTCCAACTATGGCGGACTCCCTGAGAAAGAACAGGCGATCCGCGAGAGGCCTGGACTCTACCCCTGTATACGCGGCAGAAGTGCGCCTGCGTCGCGGCGTGTACCGTCGCACCGTCGTCAGCCAATCACGGTGTCGTATCTGGTCACGTCAGTGCAACGTGTGCGCATGAATCCGCGCTTCACTTCTGATAGAGGGAGCCAGTTCGGTTGCACGTTCTACACGTTCTGCACCCTATTGGAAATTTGACATGAAAATTCGATAATCAACGAGTTCCGTTCTTGGCTCTGATTTCGTTCTGATCCGTCAAGTCTCTCAAGGGACGTCTACATTGGAAGTAAACAGTAAGAAGTAGGAAGTAAGAGTAAGAGATTGACCAACCACAGTCGAATGTGAGAAGAACAATCAACTATGATTGGTCAATTTCTTACTCTTACTTCCTACTTCTTACTACTTACTTCCAATATAGACGCCCCTTTACTCTTACTTCCTACTTCTTGCTATTTACTTCCAATGTAGATGTCTCTTCAGTCTCCAATCCACGATCACCGATCTTCAAAAACTTACTCCGATAGGAGCTTCATGCTTGTATTCATAAGCTGCGTTCGCTTTGAGCGTTTACGCGCTGTAAAGCTGGCCACACACACTTTCCGTAAAGCCCATTCTACAATTGCGTAAGCGTAGTCGTGAACGTAAGAGTCAACTAATCCGAATGTTTTATTCACTGATTGCTTTACTTTGATTGGTTGTCGTAATCACTTACAACCACTTACATCCACGTTCACGCAATTGTAGAATGGGCTTAACAGTAATCGTAAGGCGTAACGTAAGAATTGACCAATCATGTTGAGAATCGTCGAATTGTAAAGTCGCCATTTTTGTGAATGCTCGATCGTATTTGGTCAATTCTTACGTTACGCTTACGGTTACTGTTATGGAAAGTGTGTGGCTAGCTTAAGCGTCGTACATTACATACGGGAAGAAAATAGAGGGTATTTTCCAATTGCTTAACACATCTTGACACACACGTACACAAAACCAGTTTATTGGTCACATATTAAACTGGTTTTGTGTAACACAGTGTACGCAACTGGAAAGCACTCAGAATAACGCTTACAGCGCATAAGCGCCCAAAGCGAACGCAGGCCATAGTCAGGTCTTATATTTAAGGCCTTCTAAGTTCATCTTCAGATGTTCTGTAACCAATAAAATGATCTGTAGAGCATCTGAAGATGAACTTAAGGAGGCTTAAATATAAGAAATGACTATGAATATGGGCATTACTTTCTCGTGCCTGAATCTGCATTGATTGATAACTTTTGCAAAGTGCGTGAATTGAGTGAAACAAATATATTTTGTGTGTATTAGTTCAGAAAATTTTCGGAACAGATCTCTTGCCTATTGCTTTTTACAAGCTGAACATGGCCTGATATAAAGATTCGTCCACATGAGTGAACATAAATTGTATAAAAATCAACCAATCACAAATCTGGATGCTATACGGAAATGAAATATCACTGAAGAAAACTCCACAGTTACACGCGCGGTTCGCTATTTTAAAATTAAAATTAAATTCTCAATATTTTCCCGCCGAAATATATTTTCGTGTCATGCTGTTTTCACCAATGGTGAAAAGATGGTTGCTCTCTGCTGTAATGTAAAGGTAACGTGATATTATTTTTTGATCGTCTTCATCTCTCTTTCTGAAGTAGACTTTATTTTACAAAAGTTTCTTTCAAGAGTCAGTTACAAAGACACTCTATGATACAAGTCGTCGCTTGATCAAATATCAATACGCTATCGACAAATAGAGTCAATAGGAGTGACGATAACTTGGGCCTCGTATTTACAATAATTAAATAGATGAGCCTTTGTCTAAGAACTAACGTGCGTTACACACCACAGTTATGCACAGCACTTATTTTGAATCGGTGAGTCACTAACATTCATATTCACGCGAGTGCATGTTGTGAGTGTCGTGTTCCGGGGCCGATTTTTCTAATTCTTCGTAATAAGCTAATTAACAATTAAATTATACATTTTTAAGAAAAACAAAAGTAAACACATGATTTAACTGATAATTGGTTTATTAAGAGGTTGGAAAAATTGGTCCTTAGAAAGTCGCTTATTTAGATTAACTTTCAATAGTTCAAGCGTGGTATCTCGATCTCAAGCCTAGGAAACCGTTTCAAGTTAATTCGAACTTGTATATAAAATAGGCAATCGATCGACGAGCTTTAGCCTGAATCAAATCATGAGTGTGAATATTAGTATGGGCTGTTGCAAAGTTGTGAATCAGTTTACAGTCTCCATAAGAACACAGATATTAATCGCTTCTAAAATATTTGATTATCGTGATATTTTTAGTAGTTTCCTGTAATCAAGTTTATATTGGATTCCAGACCAGCTTCTAAGACATTAAGTAGGATTTTCATCAAACTCCAATTGAGTTAAGCGAGTCTAATCTGCCAATTTTCAGTCACGTAATTGGTCGTCCAATAATAATCGGGAAGTTAATAATTTCAGTTTTTTTTTTTAACGAAGAACAGGTAATGCTTGTGACTGATATAGACTGAAAAACCAGTCGACCAGACTAATCGAAGTTTGACGTGAGTCATCCTGAAGCAAGAGGTAAGTTGGTGTAATGAACAGTTTTTAGTCAAGCGTTGCAACCGACACGCCGATCCAGGACGTTACACGCGAATCCGCATTTGAACTCGGTAAAATCGCGAAACTGTATCAATTTCTCATTCTTAGCGGTTTCCTTTACAATTTTTCTCATGGATGTCCACGCGATCGGGATTAAAGGTCCTCCCGCAACGCTTGCATGGCACCAGCTGGCTCAGGTGCGTCATCCAATTGGCTTCCTCTGTCGCTGCTTGATCGACCACCATACTTCCCGTGTGCGGATCCTCTGCGAACATGGAAGTCATTGCCGAATGTATCGTACCTTGAAAAGGAGGCAGGAAATACGCATAAATATTGAAAAGCCAGTTACTGAATGTTAATTTCAGTGTCAGGAGCCGTTAAGACTCCTGACCCTTCTCACCTTTTCAAACTCTTGTTCAATAATGTCAGAAGCGAGGAAACGCATGTTCAAAATTCGAAATAAAATGATTTATCCAAAAAGATGACACTTGCGATCGGTTAGGCATATCACTAAAATACTCCAAATACTTTCCCTATATTGTAATAATCAATAAATATAATCGTAAAATTAATGTGCAACTTTCTTCTTTAATCTACGTTTTCTCATTATTTTGTCACGTTAATTTTGCGGTTACTTATCGATTGTTAGAGCAAAAAATATGTTCAAAATATTTTGGAAGTGTGCTTGATCGATTGCAAATATTATATATATATATATATATATATATATATATATATATATATATATATGTATATATATGTATATCTTTTAATTTCGACGGCAGGAATTTCGGAGGCATGCATTTCCTCGCTTCTAACGTCATAAATCAAAATGATTGCGACGAGGGGCCAGGAGCCCTAACATACACTCTGCTATATCTATCCAGTGAACAAGAAACATTACATCATCACCTTGAAGTATTGATTTTGTATATAGTCAGTAAAAAAAAAGTTGCGACACTTTATAAATGCATCCATATCTAGTAAAAGAATTTGTGTCTTTTAGTAATGTTTTATTCATATTTCAGTAATCTTTTACTAATGTTGATACACAATATTAAGAGTTAAATATTAGAAAACGTTACGTACTGTCGAATATTATTAACGATAACGTACTGCCAATTTTTTCCTCACTGAATGATATTCAAGTTGTAACTACTCGAAATCAAGTTTCGCATATCCGATTTTTGAATTTTAGCTAAAAAAGCTCTCTGCTTTTTAGCGAAAATTTAGAAGAATAACGGATAGAACAAAATTTCTTACTGCACTCCGCGAGGCGTTATTGATTCGCGATTTCCATAAGCGATCTCCTATAACCGAGAATGCATTTGTGACGCGTGTATAATAAATCAGCATTGCACCTACATCTGTTCTATGGCAATGCTACGACGAGCATTATAGATTCATATATCATACATGCACGCGTGATCACTTCGGCTCGATTGATTCACTCAGAATGTAGTGCACTTGACCCTGACAGAAGATTCAGAATGAATCAGTGGATTACAGAAATGTACACACGAAAGGGCAAACGAGTTATTCAAAATTAATTTCGATCTTCGTATATACATTGTATTACTTTTTTCACTTGACCATCATTATGTGTTCATCATACAGTGTGGCACAGAATTTAATACATATTCAAAAGAGAAAATGTGTAACACGTTTTCACTATAAAATATTCGTAAAATATTTAGAGCATCAAAAATCGTATCAAACTTTGTGACCAATTCAATATTTTACGCTTGCACTAAGCGTGTCTTAACATTGTAATTAGGCTTACTTGTACGATTTTCAATCTTACGTACATTAGATTTTATTGAAGCTTAGTATGCAGGATAAAATATTTATTGCCGTTTAAAAATTGATTAATTGCATCTGGAACTTCTTTCTGTCCCAGCATTGTAACTGGTAAAAATATAGTAGATATCGTTATAAACACCTTCTACACGCCTAACGTGCAAAATAATAATTCTAGCAAATGAGTATTAAGATATATATGATGTCTCGTGTACATACACGCATGCGATTACTATTAGCGACAGTATCGACTTACGTATATATATGACCTCAGGTTTCTGCGGTTCCTTTCGTCTTCGTGCCGGCGATAATTTGTCATTCTCGGCGTGCCACTTCTTCAAGCATTGCGGCTCGTGAATGGCGATACTAGACGTGCCGAAGTCTCTGCCGCATATGTAACATGTGACGGTCTTCTTTTGCGACAAGTCCTGAAATCAAGCGAGGTTCACGAGTTTTCTTTGTCCACGTATCGCAGCTGTCTTCCAAACGTTCCATCTGGAGAACGTAAACGCAACTTCGACGCTACTTTAAAATATAGTCGCGCTATATTATTATAAGTTTTACAAAAACAAACTTTTTTATTCGGCGCACCAGTAACACACCGTATAAGATACTTTATTTCACTCGTGTAATAAGAACAATTCATACAACATGTTAGAACGGTAATTGGAATACGGTGTGACTCCAATTATTCATTTTATTAAGATCTTAAAACATCAAAGATAGATCAATTGCAAATGCAAGGGAGATTTATTCAACACGTAAATTACATAACGACACGATTATAGAGATTTGTGCGTTTTTTTTTCAAGACTTACCGAATATGTCGCAGGTGGACTTTCTTGATCACTGGTGGCTGACCACTGAAGATTATGGTGACTCGGCTTATCCCTGTGCGAAGTCGAGTTGTTCTGCGCCTGCCATCGTCTGTTGCATTGAGGCTCGTGGATCTTGATGCTTCTGGTGCCGAAATTTCGACCGCACACCTTACAAGGAACTGTGGGCGGGCCGACGGAGCGCGCGTTCGCCGACGTTTGTCTGTCTGTCGTCGTGAGCAATCTCTCGAACCTTGAGTCATTACTCTGAGGAAACAGCAGACACATGAAGAAAGCACAAAATATACGAGAAAAGTAAGTTTAATATACCTTCGGAGTTGCCTTGCAGCTTCTCTCGTGGATCGGCAATCGTTCCGGCAGAAATGTCCTCCCGCACTTCGCGCACGGCACCAGTTGCTCCTGAAAGCGATTTTCACGTGTCTGTGTGATCGTGGCATTGTATCAGTAGGAATTATATTAATGTATTAGATCACGTGTTAATACGATATCGTGACATCATGACACAATTATTAGCGTATTAATGCCATTGATGAAAGAAGAATATTTCAGATATTTTTACTTTTTATACTTAAGATATTTTTTATTATATTTTATTTTATATTTTATTTTTATATTTAAGATATTTTTTAAAGAAAAATTTAAGTATATTTTGCTTTCTAAGCGATCATTAAATCAGCGTTTCGCTCGTGTAGAATTCTAGCAGTTAATAGCCGGAGATTATTAAAACCCGCGATCATGTTCGACGTATAATCGACGTATGTATAATGTACGATTCAGAATTCGTACATAAAATAATCTACGATCGTCGAGACGCATTTGCATAGCATGCAGTTCTCATTTGATATGCTCTCGTGCGAGTTGTATGCATATGAGATGTTAAAGAGCAGCCTTTGATATTCCACGTTAAAGTACACACTCGCGAACAACACGAAATCGCTGTCAATGATCGCGATGCATTTTCATTGCGGTTAATTCGCGTTCAAACTGACATGACGAACATGTCAAAGTGCGGAGATTATCCTATCGGCGCACATTAAGTCTCCGAACTCATAAAATGTAATTCTCGTCAATCGACTTTTATTCGTCCATTTTCGTGAAACGCCGCAATATTTCTGTTTACCCATAAATATATCGGTCTGCACGCTTCCTATAATTAGTTCTTACATCATCGATCTCGTCATTCGCCCGACACAATTAATGAAGCGTCCCAGAGACGACGTTCGCTCACGCGGAAACGACACGTGCGTCCCGTAAGAACAAACTTTCCGCGATATATTATTGATCGTAACATTAATTAAAATTGTAAATTGCAGGTCTACCTGACTCTGTTCCCATGCGGCTGCGTTCCAGTCGGTGTGGTCGATCCCGACTGTGGGTCTTTGCGGTTTGGGCCGTCTTTGGGAGAGAGGTAATGTATTGTTCTCACGCTCCCATTTCTACGATAAAAAGTACGTATAATACGTATAATACGTATTTATAATACGTATGAGTAAATCATACAAGGGTTGGAAATAAATCAAATGTATAACGATCGATAAATAGTTATTCGGTAAATTTGGAACAACCGATCGATTTGTGTCGTCGTTAAAAAAATCTTGAACAAAATACGGAAGTCTTTCCTTTCGACAAAAACGCTCGAGCGAATTTTCATGCGACTTTTTATGATGCAGTTGTCTTATCGATCTCGTGTTGCAGCACATTAGCATCACTGCAGTTGCACAGTTGTCATACAATGTCACTAATGTCTCTCATTACGAAATATACGGATATATCGCGTAGTATATATATACACACACACATACGTACGTGTAGTATATATATTTACGTACTTATATATATATATATATATATATATATATATATATATATATATACATACATACATACATATATACACATATATATAACTGATAGCGCCAAAGGTGATTCGTGTTTTTTTTATCGACTGCGAAGATCACGATGCATGCAAGACAAGGATCAGTCAGGATAGTCACGTTTAGCGGTAATTATATTTACGCAAATGCGAAGCGTAGTATCACGTTAACTGCAAAATATTCCATTAGGTAATCTATTGTAAGGCAACGCGGTCGATCGGAAATACGTACACACAGGCACGTGCAAATCGCTCGCTACCGGTCGCTGTATAGTTTGCAAGTACGCCGCGCGAGTCTAACACATCGGTTACACGCGCGAATGCATCTGATGTCGGGTTTAATGGTACAACGCGTTATACTACTATCGATTTTACGAAAGGGCCTTGACTTATTGCACACACACACACCCACACACACACGTGTTCACTGTCGTTGCAAAGCTATTATATTACGAACCGTTTCCGTTGCTTCCGCGATGAAATCGTGACGCCACGTCAAGAGTCAAATTGTAGGATAGTCTGTTGTTTGGAGAGATTCTATTGTGACACGATTGTTTCGATGCACGTCAATTGTTGATACTTTGACGAAAGAAAGCAAAGTATCGGGACATTAAATCCTCAAAGTTCGATGTCTAGGACTACAACCTCGCATTTTTGCTCCCCATTGAAAATCCAATACGGGAAACTTTTAGTTACTTTTAATTTTAGGCTTTCGCCTATGTGGTGGAATATTTGATCCAATTTATTTCTTCTGGAGATTTCTGAAGAATTGAGATTCTTGACGAAGAAATCTCCTGAAGAGGTAAACTATAATATATTCATGAAACGTTGAAAACAAAAATAACGGACACGGCATCAACTCGAAAGCCAGACCAAGCATTTTAATTACGATCTCATCGCGTTATTCGCTAAATTGTATCATCATAGTTATATATTATTGATTTTTATATGATTGTAATTGAAGGCATTTACCTCCATGCACTTGGGCTCGTGTATGGGGAAGCTAGCCGTGCCGAATTCCCGACCGCAGACGTAACACGTGACAGTTCTCGGGCCCCGTTTCGTCGTGGTCGACGGCCTGGCCGAATTCATCTCGCACGGCTCGATCTCTTCCGGTCGATTCTTATTCTTGTCGCTGCGGAAATTCAACGCCACAGGTTTCTGGATGGACTTCGGCACTGGCACGTTCTTTATCGGCTTCGTCGTAGTCGCTGTTGCTGGGATGTCTTTGATCTTGACTTGACTACCCTTCGGATGGCTGTGGAACCTCTCTGGCTGATCTGGCCGTCCACAAGTCTTGCAGGGTTCTGGAGCACTTTTCGTCGAAGGAACGGCCGTGAAGATCTCCAGATCGCTGGGTATACCTGTCCTCGAATTTCTCTTCTTCACCGTAGACAGCACTTTGGGAGGACCGTTTCTGGTTGCGTGAATGTAGTAATGCATACGTAAATACCGCTAATCGGAAATAATCATTCATATTCGAACGCCGCGAAACTTAGAGGAGATCGGAAAACTTTTCTCCCGGAATATAACATGTTAACGCGTCGACTTTTGCGCGAATTGTATAAAAGACTGACTGATGATCGAATTGCTAAATTTGATCATCAGTTAATAGCAACATTCTCATCGCGCGTAACAAGCGATATGATTAGATCTGATCTGATGCCCGTCATTTATTTGTAATCGCGGTGCAATCGTTGCAACACCGACCTGTTGTTGTTATCGTCGAGTCTCCTAACGTCAGAGTTTCGTTTGACGGGTGCATGCTCCTGGGAAGTCTTCCGACTTTCGGTAGGCGATCGCGGGCCGATCTCCATCTGGCAGATCCGCGGTTCGTATATCTGCTCGAAGCTCCGTCGCTGATGACGCACTGGAGCCTTGTCGCGGGGCCAAGTGGTGGTGCGTCGTGGTTGCACGTCGCCGGTGACGACGGCGCTCTGGCGTCGTCGCGTCGACGACGGCGACGGTAACAACAACGACGATGACGACGACGACGAACACGACGACGTGGCTGCTGCAGTCTTGCCTCCACTGATCGCCGCCAGCGATCTGGTCTGACGGTAACGCGTCATCGAGTCGCACAGCAGCTCCTTGCTAAGCAACGACATGTCGAGCTTGTCCACTAGCTCGGGATTTAGCACGCTTGGTTTCTCTAGATTCGCCGTCTTCGGCCGTTCCGGCTCCTCGCAGAAGGAGCGCTTCATCTTCGGCGGCCAAGTACCGGTGTTTCCTGCATTTTTCTTCTCGTTCCTTGCCGCGCCTATTTAGACGAGTTCAATGATAGCAAACGGCGAAATCGTTGCGAATGTAATTTATTTAACCCATCAAAGGACCTGATTATAATATTTCGATTGAGTTAAATATTATCAATTCAGTTTCAAGTTAAATTTCAAGTTGAGCTAAAAACTTTCTTCATACGCGGAGAGATGACGATTGTAATTGAACTTTATTTAGAACTGAACTTTCGAATAGTTGACGATTTGATCGTAATGAGAATTTTGTCTAAGAACAAAGAACATTAACCTTTTTGGGTTACCACATTCTTATTATCTTGATATGTCTCTCACATATCAATGCGCTTCTGATGCACGTTTTAACATTCAAGATACAAAAAGTAGCTCTAAAAATTTATTTTTCCAATGATGCAGTTAACTAGCTCGACATATCATCGACATATACTCGCGATAAAATATGATTACCTTTCAAGATCCTCAAGTCATCTCTTATGATGAGAAATGTTTTCTCCGATAGAAAGTCGCATGGTCCCCTCTTCCACTTCATAGCGATTTTAACGATGACGTGATCTTTCACAAGTCGCAAACACGGAAATAATTAGTCACGCTCGCGCGGAGCATTATCATTTGTACATTTACCGTTGACGATGAATTTTCTTTTCCGAACGCTTGAACGGACAGTTTTACATCGATAAGAGGCGAAAGCGATCAAGCGATACAGTCGATATAACGCGACTACGTCGAACACGTCTCAATTTCAATTTACCCGATCAGTGACGTATCGGAGAACGCTCTCGTGTCCGAAAGCAGACATTTCTCGAGACTCGCTGAACTTCACTCGAGCGATTTTTTCTTTATACGCTCCTACGCACGCAACGCGTTATTTTTCTCTTTCTCTCCTCCGCGAATGCGCGTTAAGTCGGTCGAGCGACTGTAATATTCCTCTATCCGATGAACGAGCGATAAGATATATATTCCGTTGTCTGCACTATGATCTGTCGAGCAGATCATCAGACACAGTACAAACGAAAAATCTGAATTAACAGAATAGCGAGTAATTGAACGACGACGCAACGCACGAGATCTAATTGCACATTTCACCATTCGTCACACAAAAATGCGGGAACGTTGCCGAGACACATACATACAATGTGTCGTAGTTTCGCTTTACGAAATTGAATCGCACGTGCGAGTATATATGTACACACGCACTACTAGACGACCTTTCGTCGGCATTTATTTTTAATTGTGCGTAAGCGCTACGGAAGTAAAAAGTCTCGTGGACGCGCGCAGCTCTTATACCGCCTCCTTGCCACCGAATTACGCGGTGCACTGAGCTTAGCTTTTACCTTCGCTATTTAGCTCCGCTTTTATACGCGTCTTTTATACGTTTCCTGTGTGAGTGTGCGGTCGACTGTGCGACAGTACACAGGTGGCAGAGAAAATCGATCCAACGACCGGCCGTTTAAATGACTATAACGTAGCGAGCGTGTGCTACGCGCGCTACGTTTCTCCTCACCGCACGGAAATCGTTCGAAACGAGCGAGCGATAAAAGGGTATGCGCGGGTATCACGAAAGAGAGAGAAAGTCGCACATGTTCACTACAATATATCTAATTCGCACGGTCGAGACTGTCTGTGTACCGATAGACTTCTTTTTATTGCTTTTTCTCGTCTTTTCTTTCATAAATATATAATATTTAAAAAATGCAGTCGCAGTGTTATATAATACAGTAAATTGTATATACACGGAAAGTTCAAAGGACGATACGAACGTACGTAATATTAATTAATAATGCATACATGTTACATTAACGGCGATATCTGTATCTCTTGAAATGGAACCACAACTGGAAGATGTTATTGTGGAACTGACATCTGAATCCACGCTTATATGAGTACTCCCACTCTCTATTGACAATCTTAAACGCAATGTCCTCGTAAGGCGGGCCCGCGTGAAATCGCAAAATTGCAAAGTCCTTGTTGTCGGCGCAGGGAGTCTAAAAAGTTGAAATTAATGTTATATATTAATATATCGTATATCGCACACACACATATATATGATATACTATATGTGATATCATGTTTTAATGTATATTTAAGTACAATTGTGAAAACGTGTAAAATCTTGGTAACTAATCGTGTTTTTTAAGAATCCGAACGTTTACTGACAATTTAGATTGCATTGACTACGAGAAAAGAGAGCTTGTATATCTTACGAGAAAGTATTCCGGAGTAGTGTTCTTGTCTATGAGATCTGGATAGAAGATGTTGAACTTATAACCCTGCACAATCTTCGGCGGTGGGTTGTCCATGTCGTAGTGCGTCTGATTGTATTTGTTCCATTCGAAGCCGGTGTGCACTCTGTTAAAGTAACGCGGTTTACGCGGTCTGTACTTGTCAGACCACAGGTAGATTTGCGCCTCCAATGACGACTCGACGCTGAACTGCGCCTCGTCCGAGCCCATATTCTTGCGTGCTTCCCTATGCATCGCCTGCTCCTCGGCTGTCAGCACGTTTTGGATCTTCCTTCCGGTGCTGAGCACTTGTTGCCTCGCGTACTCCAGTCGCTGATTGTCGTCGTCCTCTTGAGTGACAATCGTACCTGGCTCGAGTTGCGAATACGGTATGTAGGCCGGTGAGTAGCCGCCCGATTCGTACTCGCAGAAGGACTCGGACAGTAGATCGTCGGCGGCATTGGTCTCCCGGTCATCGCTGCAAAAACATACAACGGGATTATCTTAATCTCGTCATTTGCAAAAAAAAGGGATGTGAAGGGTGAGAATACTCACTCGGACTGGCTGTTCTCGTTTTTCTCGACCGTGGCACTCGTGGAAGGTTCGATCTCTTGCTTGGCCGACGGCTCGCTCGGCACTTGCGAACTGCTTTCAACTTCGCTCTCCGTTCTAGCCACACCTTGTTCAGCGATCAGTACTTCCAGCTTCTTACGCAGATTCTCCTGATGCCGATCTCTCAACCGCGCTCTCGCCATGTGGGCTACATGTTTAAAACTTGGTGTGAATCGCATGCGTTATTATTCGCAGATTTTAAGAGTGTATTTATACGAAATCGATTGCATTGCCCTACCTTTCAGTTGCGACAGAAGACTCTCCCAATATCCAATATCGACGCCCTCTGGCTTTCCTGTGATTTTTGCCTGAATCTGTTGTTGCAAGGCCTCCAATTGCGCCGCGGTTTTACCCTTGAAAATAGCCGTGACGTCTTTCGCCACTGATTCGTGGATTCCTTCTCTTCTACCGACAGCTAAACAAAACGATAATTTGTATTTACAAATAAAGAGAACAATAACGTACACAAGAGAAAATTATTTCTCTTACCAACTTCATACTCTGTACGTTCTAACTTCCTGAGCTTGTGCAGTTCATCCTCCACAATCACTGTTATGTCGTTCCAATAGTCTAAATTCTTGCCCCTCTCCAATTCCTTGTAAACTTTGATGTCCTCTATAAGATCCTCCAAGTCTTTAACTTGCAAGCCTCTCAAGTACGTATAAGGTTCGTGCATTTCTACCGCATCAACCTCCTCCTCTGCACTGATGTACTTTGCGAGAAGATCTATAGGCTTTGCACGACCATCCTGAATTCTGATGCGAGATCTCAGTCTAGCTTGCTCCAGATGAAACTGATCCTCCTGCCTGGCCCACTGTTCCAGCTGAGCAGCCTCCTTGCCTCTTTGTAACATAGTCATTTCCTCTTCTCTCTGTTGTCGCTCCAACTCTCTCTCCTGCCTCCTCTTCTTTACTTTTTCCAGTTCCCTCTTGGTTTCTTCCTGTTTATACCTATTACGCATCTCCAACTCCTCTCTACCCACTCCAAGCAGACCTTCCTTACCTAATTTCTTGGACCACACAAATGTTGACAAAATATTGCCATCTCCAAATGGATTGTCTGTATTTGTATAATGCAGGTAGTCGTTGTCCCAGCCCATCCTCTCCTTACGTCTGCGTTCTTTGATTTCTTTCTTTTTCAGGCGTCGTAAACGTTTCTCTTCTGGCGTTTCTGTCGCCTTCATCAATTCCTTCTGCCGCTTACGCTCCTCGACCTGTTTTTGCCGTTGCTTTTGCAGCTTCTCGAGCAATTTTGTAGAATCTGAGGATGAGTCTGTGGACGATCCAGCGCTAGTTCTGCTCGAGTTGGTCGAGGTGGAAGACGAAGAAGATGAGCACGATTCTCTGAATGCAAGAAATACACATCAAAGATGACGATATAGCTTTAAAGAGATAATTTCATTTTTAAAGAAGAAACCCACCTCTTTCGACTTTTATGCTTCGAAGATTTCTTCCGCGAGTCACGTCGCATGCGGGAATCCTCGTCTTTCGACTTTCTGTGTCTCTCACTGGATTTTTCGGAACGTTTATGCCTGGATCTTGATTGTCTGGTTCGATGTTCCTCATAATCGCGATCCCTCCGCGATATTCTGTCTTTATGTGCACGAGTATTGACTGCAGCAGAAAAAGTGGTTTAATAAATTTTTTTGCAAAATTCCTTCCAGTATATCTTTTGATATGTCGCATCACTCAGTACACATGATGGAAAGACGTGAATCACTGTCGTTGAGCGAAAAATTAGCAGCGCACTTATTGAGCTGCTTTTCCTGCTGAACGCAGCTATTGCCTTTCTTTCTCTATCGGTACTCACCATCAGTGCGAGAATATCTTTCCATTGTGTCAAAAAAAACTCCAATGACAGAACGAACCACACACGTTTAACTTAACCTAACTTCTCTCTCGCTTTGAGATACGCCATCTTGCTGCAATTGTCGCAGTTCATCTACTACGTGAGTCAGTTTGAGGTGACACGAATTCGCAACTTGTTAATCAGGCGTTATTTCACGGCATCTCATCGACGAAATTTCCTCCTAACATCGATTTTTCAGTATTTTCAGGCACGCGAGATTGATTTCAAAGTGATACGGAAAGATCGCATGGTATCGCTCGGACGTTCAACGACGTCGTATTTCCTTCTACATTTTCGGCAAGCAAGCCACATCCGTTAACTTTCAAATCCAACAGCGTACGCACGCCATCGCGGGTGGCTTTTCGAAAAGTTTTGTCGCGTACTCATTCTCAGTGAAGCACGAAGTGTGTTGGACGTTCACGCATCTACGATCACTCGTGAAGACAAGGAACGCAATGCCGCACAACATTTATTACTCGGACAAGTATTACGATGACCAGTACGAGTACAGGTGGGTGCAGAGTCCTGTGACGGGGAAAGATAGCCTCTCGGACCGTTATTCTCCGACGGGGCCCAAAACCAATTGTCCGAACTATCGCTGCGTTTTCGCTTCGGTAGCCGACTTTGGCGAAATTCGGCGCAGTCGCGTGATCCGAACGTCGAGGCTTCGCAACACATACAATTCATACTCGTGGCGTTATTCAGAGCTCTTTGTTTCTATCTCTCTCTCTCTCTCTCATTGGCATGTTTAGCACGCGGTTTAAATGGCCGGTCCATGGTACGATCACGCTGTCATTTTGCTCTGTTATTGACTCATCCTCTAGTCTTAACCGGTTTCCCGGTCCGTTATTTTGTTTAAATGGATCCGAAAGACGAGATCGTTGCCTGACCTTGACCTTGATAGCGATTCGTGAATTTTTTGGAAGTTACAGATACTAGAACTAGTCTAGTATTTCTTTCGCGAAGTACGACACATCTTCGTTGTTCTTCGTACATAGGATACACTTTCGAGAATCGTATTGTACGATATTGTGAAAAATATTGTATTATAAAGCACGAAAAAAAAAACTATATAGGATATAATTTTCATTATGTAATGAAAATTCCAAAGATTCTTGTATGCTTTTACTCTTTATCAAAATGGTAGCAATTTAACAAATCTAATGTGAGAAAGAATATTTATCCTATGAATTTATGTAATTGTAAATTTTGTACAGGCATGTTGTTTTGCCAAAAGAGCTGGTGAAATTAGTACCAAGAACTCATCTCCTATCTGAGCAAGAATGGAGAGCCATCGGTGTTCAACAGAGCCAAGGATGGATACATTACATGATACATGAACCTGGTATGCAGCTAATTATATTTCTTTCATGGTGCAGCATCTTATTCAGAAGAGTTTTAATTTAATAATTAACTTTTTCAGAGCCACATATTCTGCTATTCAAGAGAAAGATAACTCAAGAGGAAAAATAAACTGGATGGAATTATTATGTTGATTTGTAAATAACACATCAGATCATGTTTACATTCATAGCGGAACTCATTTGTGCTTGTAAACCATGTAACTCTGTTTCCTTTTTTCTCTGTGTCTCTCTTTGGTTGTCTAGCAATATAATTTATGTTTAAAACACAATGTTTATTTTCTATAAATTTGAGTTTTTTGATAAATTATTCAAGTTATCTATCAAATTCCGCAAACTAGTGTACGACATGGTCATGGCTCTGTCATCTGTTTTATCTTACTTTGCTCTGTCATTTGTAAGAAAATGTCAAGCAAGTATACTGTATATATGTCTATAGAGTGTCTTAGTTTATAATCTCATTGTCATAAATTCCTTTTCGTTTTTTATTTTTTACATTGAAATTTTCAATGAATTTCATGACACTGAACAAAGTGAAATATTAATAAGGAAATAGTTGTCTTGAAAAATAGCAGTTCTCTAAGATGATGTAATATTTTAAGTATTGTATTAAAGAGAATGTGGTATTCTTGTACTCTTGTGATTGCAGTGCCTTACAGGAACTTATCCTAAGAATATTGGTTAAATTAAGATATTTAATAATAATTGTTCCTTGAATCTTTATGACAGTATTAATGTAATATATATGTATAAATATATATATATATATATATATATATATATATATATATATATATATATATATATATACATATATATAAATATACATACATATATATACATACACACACATATATATATATATATATATATATATATATATATATATATATATCCCTTATGCATTTCTTCAGATAGACAATCTTAAAATTGTGACTTAGGTTCAGTTTTCAAACTGAAGGACTTTATTAATCATCATTCAATAATTAATATAGTTGGTTTAAAAATCACAAAGTAATAAAAGAAAAGGGAACATTTGATCGTACGTATATAGGTATGACGTATTGAAAAAGTTACTGATTTAAAGATAGTTATAAGTGGATCATAATTGGAAGTAAATTTACTTTTGAACTATTTCTGGATATCAAGTAATCGGCGCAGCAATCATGAGATCAACGCCAACTTTCAATTGGATGTAGTACTGTTCCAATATGTAAAAAGGCATCACATAAAGTTTAAGTTTTGCGACCTATTCCGCTACAAACATATTTTAGAATGTTGACTTTGATATGAATTGTATACGTACCATCCATATGTATTTCCGCTCCGAGCAATCTCATATATCGTATGCGATTCACGTACCTTAATATATTAAGTTTGTATGCTCGATATTTCTATTGCGATGTAATTCATATTCGAACATCACGTGTGCTTAACGTGTAATAATAAGCGATTTTGATTTGCTTATGAGAATAGAAAAGAAGCATGTGTTATTAATATTATGTTAAATAAATGTTTGCGTTTAAAGATATAATTGATTTAATTCGCAAAAAGTACACATACAATACTTGCAGTAGCGGGAACAGTTATTGACAAATTAGATTACATGTAATTTACAAAGACTAGAAAAATTTAACGCCCTGATTATCATCGAATAAGATTAGCTCAGCCTTTTTTGCAGCCTCCAGGATTCTCAGTGATCTAATTAGTACTTCTGTGTCAAGACCATGAAATTCTGAAAACAAGACAATAGTCAATAAATGTTCATAATAACAATGCGACAAATAATAAAATTGGCAAACAATTGACTTTCAGTGTACTCTTATAGTATATGATTTAAATATTCCCAATTCCAGAACTTATCTCGTCTTGGACATTCTTGTTTTGATTCTTAAATACATAAACTTTCAATATAAAAAATATATGTATATATGTTGAATATGTGTATATGTTCTATATGCTACATTGAAATATATTTATATTTAAAGAACAGTGAAAATATTCAAAATTGGACAGGTCTATCCAGGAATTGGTATGTTTACCTTGCTCAGAAGTATCATCCCCTTGTGTCAATTCGAACAATGTGCACACAGATCCTACGAAACCATTCTCCTGTGCCCAATTGTATATTATGTCACCCCATTCTTCCAGAGTATGCCAATAAACCAACCATCTCTGTTTGGTTTTGTCCAATGGAGTTGCATTGCCAGATTTTCGTAATTCTTCTAATATCAGTAAGACAGTCTCTGATGGCAATTTTCCTGTATGATCGAACGTAGTTAAGGTACTCGTGACAAACCATAGTAAATTGGCGATACAACTGCATATTGTGTAATATGCAAACGAAACAGCACTATGTGAATGAGCGCACTATTCGCGACATAACAAATGAAAAGGATACGGTTTATGGCAGTGTTATTGAACAAAGGATTCGTGTGCACTTCTCGCACGTCTACGACCGCCTGCTTTGTGGTGCGATAATATTCGAGCACCAAACTCCTCCAGGCTGCGATTTGCTTGGATCTGGTGTCCGCGTGCGGCTGAAGTCTGTAATAACCACAATTTAGATTGAGTCATTTTTACAAAATTACGAATACCTCTTAAATTCGCATTAATCGCCGGATTTATATACTCGCGAGTAAAAGCTTTTACATCGCTGCACTTGGTTTCTAACCTAACTCTCTAACCTGGATGACTATAGATTGGGATACGTTCTACATTGCATGTAGCGATGAAGTATTTTTTTTCGTTCTTTTTTAAATGAAATTTTATCACGATCTCGTTACACGGATATTTTCGTCTGCCAAAACGATACTCACGTAAAGAACGGTGGAAAACTGTACTGCCAAGGCCAATCAATCTCTGCCATTGTTACGACGCGCATCTGTCACGGGAACAAACTGTCATATATGACGACGACGCTCTTTCAGGACGAATAATATAATTGCCATTTGAGATGTGTTTAAAAAAGATTATTCGTTCAATATTTAAGCATAAAACTTTGGAGAATATATTAGAACCTCCGCACAAGACATCTGTAATATACATTATGTTACTTAAAAATAATGTACTTAAAAATAAACTTATGTCAATGCACAAGGAAATTCATTATAAAAGTTCTTTCCTACGTTATGGATTTCTTTATGTGTTGACATAAATTTATTCTTAAGTAACGTAACGTATTTTTTTGTTAACGTATTCTTAAGTTAACGTAACGGATGTTTTTGTGCGAAGATTGTTACGATATAAAAAGCCACGTAATAATCAATTGATCTTTTATAATGCATTTATTTCTGAAAGGAAAATTGAGGAAAAGCCTGAAAAAAGGAATCAGTTGGCTCTTTTATTAGTTTCAAAGTATAAAGTGTGCAACGTTCATTCACATCGTCATATGTCGATGTGGATAGTAGTTTTTCGGGATAAATGATATGATTGTCAGCGATTGCATGGCAGCAAATTGTTGATTATTTGATGAAAATTATATTTGGTGAGATAACAAACTACGAATATTCGTTAGCAAGTAGTATATTGCCAATAAATTTGAAACATATGGTGGAACATGTTTTTGTAGGTTATAAAAACATATTTTTATAGACTTTTCTTATATATAATATTAGTTTTCTCTGTTACTGTTTACTTATTTTTATTAATCCCACACAGAACAAATATCTAAAATATATCTGATAGATATCTTATAGATATCGCAATATCCATGAGATGTATTTTGAATATTTGTTCTGTATGGGATGTTTCTTTATAGTATTATTAGGTGACTTTTATTCGAATTTTCTTGCCACATCGGTCTTACATAATTTGTATTGTAGAAAAGTATGAGTCTATTCTCTTCTGTAATTTTTCACGGTTAATAATACGAGAGAATTTTTCGTATGTAAGAAATGTTTTTTCTAAAAAATATAGGATTATACATACATACATACATACATACATACATACATACATACATACATACATATATATTACTTCAGCAAAAATTATAGCTAAAAAGTAAGACTTAGCTTACAATATTACTCATTCACTGCTCATTCTTTTACTTTCTCATTCAATTATTTATTCTTAATTTCTACCTAATTAATCTAACCTCTCTTTAATTTTATTTATTTATAAACTTTATAATCTACTCTATGATCTACTCTATAATCATTTCTCCTCATTGACTTAATTTTAACTCTATCTATACTGTATCATCTTTTTATCACAGTTCTATTCCTTTTCATTCTTTCTCCTTTTGCTTTTCATTTTCTTTTCCATCCATAACTTCCTTAGAATAGCTCCTTTTTTTTTATTTAACGTATCATCTTAAATCCTTTTTATTCTTTCCTCTTCTTTCCCAAATCCTCAAACTATTCCTTTGTAATTTTATATTTTGTAAAAAAATTTTTTATGTTATCCTTTCCTTTTTCACATAGAATGTATTTTCTTTTCTCCTTTCCTAATATTTATTATCCTTATCTATATTATCACATCTCACCCTCACAAGGGCCTTTATTTCTTGTCCATCCTTTATTCAATTGTTTAGAATTAAATTTCTGCATGCAGAATCAGACCATATGTGATTTTCACAATTCCACATGGCTCGTGTTGTGGCAATTTATATGTTTGTTGACACACTACATGTTTTTCTTCTTTTTCTATGAAAGTACTTGCTATAATTCGGCTTTTGTGGTTTATTATATATACACATAGTTGCATCATATCCATAACGTCATGTGTGCCTAAATAACGTTTAGAAATACTTGATTTGTATCAATTTAGAAGAGTAACGCGCAAAACTCGGCGGTGATTTTGTTGCCGCAGTTAGGAAAATACGCAATATAGATATCGATTCGGCAATTACTCGGAAGGCATAGAAATAGTATTTTCAAACGTTTCCATGATTGATTTGTAATTTTAAAATAATGTAACAAAATTTACAACAAATACAACAAATTAGAAACATCCGTTATCTAGTACAACTTTGTGAATGAATCTAAAATACATAGCGAAAAATACACAATATCATATATATTATATTAAAGATTATATTCATATGTATTATCAAATAATTTTCGTTGAGATACTTGTACATCAAATTTTTACGCTTTACGGTAACGATCTTAATCTTCAACCCTTCTATATAAAAAGATTCCTATATATAATTGTTTTTTTTTTTTTTTCGAAAGAAAGACAGTATTGATTGCTTAGTACATAATCTTGGTTGAATACTTGTTTTATAAAAAATTACTTATATATTACATATCTGATCGGTCAAAACTTTTAGCTCGACCTTCCATTTTCTTTGACATTATTGTCAGCAACAATCAACCAACTATCACACGCGTGACATCGTAGATGCTTTCTCAAAGAAATAATATAATTATTTCGTTAAAAAGTTGGTAATTTATTTAAAAAGAAACGAATTATCTTTCAAATACGATATATCACAAGTGATTACAGGAGATAGAAGCATCAGAAGCTGATGTACAAATTCGTGATACAAAATAATGTTATATTTTTCATTGATATTTGAAAAGTTCATTACGATACATATACATGCGTATATATACACATACATATGTATTTTTTTAAATTAATATACAGAGCACACAGTGTACAGTGTAGGAGGGACACGTTTACTTAACAATAAACATTCGTTTCCTGGAAAGAACTTGAGTCAATATTTAAGGCTCCTAACTATGAACATCTTGATTTGATGTCGAAAAGGTGAAAATGCATGCTCAAAATTCCTACAAAGTATGTCAACAAATAAAAAAATATATTTAATATACTGACTAAATGACACTTGCAATCGATTAAGATACTACTTAATAGAGTATAAGTACACCTATAAAATATATTCCAAATCTTTCCTTTTGTTCTAACAATTATTAAATAACCTAAAATTAATATGACAAAATAATGAGTAAAATTAAAAAGGTTGAATGTTATATTAATTTTACGGTTATTTATCGATTATTAGAACGAAATAAAGTATTCGAAGTATTTTAGAAATATGTTTAGTCGATTGCAAATATCGTTTTTTGGATATATCCTTTTATTTTGACGTACTCTATAGGAATTTCGAACATTTCCTTGCTTCTGACGTCATCAATCTAAAATTCCGTGGTGAATAGTCAGGAGCTTTAAAATGACGAGAAATTCTACAAAGTCAACATTGTCCAGAATTCAAAGTTGAAATTTGTCACTTGTCACAGGACTTGTAGCTGTACTTGATACAATCGTAGCTATCTTTCATCGATAACATTATCTTTTATCGACAAGGGGAGATTTTATCGTTCACGATATTATTCCGTAGATCAATTATTTATATTTTAAAACACGTCTTGGAATTGATCTACTCGATTAGAAAGTAGAAAAAAGTCTGAGATATTAATTTTAGTGACAGTAACAGACGAAAGCGTGTCCAATTTTGCACTAGTTTGAAATTACAATTAGTTATTTCCCATTTCGTTCTAATCGTTGGCTTGTCAGGCTTTGAAGAATCGCACGACACGGACGACGTACTGTTTGCATATCGGACACTCGTACATTCGTTTGCCGCAGTTGATACAGCAAGCCATATGACCACATTCCAGGATTACACACTCGATAGGTGCGTCCCAGCAAATTTTGCATATTTCTTCTTCGCTCAGTTTCTCCACATCTGCGATAATTTATTTAATATTAATTACGATCTCAATTTTACGAAGTTATATAAAGTAGTAAATGAAGACGAGGATTGGCCAATGGGAAAATATTTCGTGTGTCACAGTAGACATTATATGTGTACAAATTATTATGTATTTAAGAAATTATTAAGAGCTGAATAAACACTAATATGCGCGAAAATTACGATATATAATATAAAGTTTATTTCATCTTACCCTCCCTAGATTGCTTATATTCCTGCCACAATCTGGACACTCTATTAAGTAGCTCTTGCCTCTCTATGCAACCTTTGTAATCTACACGGTTTATACTCAATAGACTTTTCAATTGTTTAATACTTAGATACTCTAATTCTGATGCTTTTTTTATATCCGATAGTTGCACTTTGTCCGACCACTGCAAAAGGAAGACAGAAATATCGTGAATAGATACATAGAGCATATGTAAACATGCACAAAGGATACTTCCAATAGTAATTTGTATAACTGAAAATATCGGCTCAAAAATATATGTATATACGTGTGTACGTGTACAATAACTTAATGATACATGTTAGTTATGAATTCTCATACCGTAGGAATTTCCATAACCATATCTGATTGTATACTGTTTGAAGTTTCTGAGACTTCATCCTGCTCGGTAATTATTGGCTCCGGGGCGTCGGTCGCACTACTATCGCATTCAAACACTTCCTCTATTTCGACATCATTACTTCTCGTCGGACCCTCGCTGGGTGATTCGTTATCATCAGTACTAAGTGGTGCACTAATGATTGGACTGTTATCACTTTCGGTTACTTCTTCCGCGATCTCGATGACTTCGCTTTCTGTGGATTCCGCTTGTGCCTGCATGTCATCATGCGTTACTTCACTTTCAGTACTAACATTTGGCATATCCTCCGATGTATTTAAGGAGACGTCAACTCTGGACCTATTGAAAAAATTAAGGTGTCTTAAGGTACATTATTTCTATCCCATATTTTACGATATCGATATTCTTTAACTTTTTATTCGTTTCAAAATTACTAACAAGTCAACTATGTTTGTCATCAAGTAATCAAAAGTGAAGTAATTAGAAAAAGTGAGAAATATTGATTTCTTGAAAACTTAGTAAGCTGGTAGTAATATGATAGAACTTAGGATATATATTTCTATGATCTATTTTGCATTTTTTTTATAATTAATTAGCTTCCAAACTAATAGCCTCAACTATTGAATCACACTGTATATTATTACTCTCTGCTTGTTTGATTATTAGCATCAATATTTGTACACACTTGCTATGTAAAATAAAACGTACAGTGGTTCCCTGGTAGCGTTTTGCGAGCTGACATTTGTACTAAAGTTGGTACTCAAGCAAGGGTCAGTTCCATTAGCATAAAGCATTAGTACATGCACCAAATCTTCTTTCTCTGAAATCAAAGTCTGGTCTTGTCAAGTATTTTCCATTGTGATATACATTTAACATTTTCTTTAATAGAACACAAAAGTACATTCTTATTATTATACATGTTTTATTTTACCAAATATGCATCCTTATTTTAATTTCAGATATATGATACAAATATACTTGAAAACTTGAACAAATAAATTTAAAATATATAGCAGTTATCTTCTAATTTATAGAGATAGGGAGATAATGACTTATAGAAGAGGGAGATAATGACTTAGATAAGTTTAAATAACTTATAGTAACATTTAAGTATTATTGTGAAACATTTTATGTACTAAAAGTCTCTATTAAATTTGCAACGAGAAATTTTTTTATAGACTTTATTCTCAGATTGCCTAATGTTACAAAAAGAAAATTTTATAGATTCTACAGATTCTAAGATTAACATTTCTTAAGAGAATGTTATTATATAGAAGCAATGTATTAATATACATACCAATGCATCCTTTGATACAAACTTTCTTTGCCACGAGATATTGACGTAAATCTTTGGAACGCATTTGTCTAATTTGACTTCTTATAAGAGGTCTTCTTGACAACATGCTACAACTATCACATGTGAACACTTTGTCTAGCCGTTTGATCACACATTCTGAACAAAAGTATCTCAGACAGTCCATACATTGTTTCTAAAGAATATACAAATAACACTTGTGTCATGTGATATAACTTTTGTTTCTTAACAAAATAATTACAATCTAGTCCATGAAAGCAAACATCTGATGTCCTTCCTAAAGAAAGATTAATTCAAATTCTGAGAAATGTTTTGAGGAAATCAGTTTTGTGTTATCTACTTATTAAACAGTGCATATAGTCAAAGTCATGAACACAATAGCGTATGATCAGTAAGTTACTTTTAAGTAGGTAAATAATCATTAGCATCCTTTAATGATATTTATTATTTTATAATTGTTAAGAAACTTTGTTTCATCATCCAAGATATGTAAAGTTAGATACGCAACACTGCAATTTGTCGAATCATTGCTAACAGCGAAATTTGGCGATGATCGATCACAAAGGAACGCGAACTTTCCCAAAGGGTTTACTCACTTTTCTTTTAAACAAATTAAACTTCGTACTACACGCTTCGCAAGCCATCTCCTTGGAATTACTGCCACCGTTCGCTCGTCGGCCTGAAAAGTGATTTCGTGATACAAGCGCGGTTATCACTGGGAACGTTATAATCAACTTTATAATCAACGCTAGGCGAACGGGATAAACGTTACGCCATGTGACTCTATATAAATTTAGGATAAAATGATTACTACACGCACGTCGTAGAGGCGACATAATAGGAGTTGTAACCTTTTTAAATCGATATCATCACAGTGTTGTGATCGATGCAGTATGGCCGAGCCGAGGTGGGGAAAAACAAAAAGCGCCGATCAGCCGCTACGAAGGAATGCTGCGTCGTTGTGATATATCGTCGCCTCTTCTGGCAACGTGCGATAACTCGTCTTTAATTATCATGCGCATCCGGAGGCCGCGATATATCTTAGACGTCATAGCGCACCGACTGCGTAACATGCAATCGAACCTGCAGGAACTTTGCATCTGTTGCGATGCATCTCTTGCCATTAGACCTGTTCGTTTAAAAACTTTAGAACTAGTGTGAACACTAGTGCAATGAGTTAAAGTGAAAAGAAAGTATATTTATTTCACTCTAACTTATCGCACTAGTGCACAAGTCTATTGAAAACGAATAGACCTATTATTAAGCTCGTGTCACCTACTAGGGTTGCAAAACGTTCTTTCTGAGGAAAATTTTACTCTTAAGTCTATAGTGTATGTAACATGAACTATAGATTTAAGAGCAAAATTTTCCTCGAAAAAGATTTTTTGGAATGCAACCTAGGTATTGCACGGGTTGTTCATTGACGACTACACTTGACCAATCGGATCGAAGCAAATCATAATCAAGCTCCAGGATTCGTTAAATTATAATTCTAATTACTAGTCCGTAATCCTTAATCTACAATATCTATAAAATGTTTTCATCTATGGAATCAATGCCGTCTTTATGCAGATAGAATGTTTCTATTATTAATTAATAATATAAGAGAAAAGCGTCTCTAATAGACCCTATACCTATGGTTTACCGATAGAGACTTAACGGGTTTAACGGCAACACAATAGGTGCGTTCAGCGAACTCAACAGTTGCACAACAGTTGAGCAATTCGTCAATATAATTGGTCTAAAGTTAGAGATCTAACAATAAGAACTAATAATTACTGACCGCTCACTGATCAGCTATATTTTCTGAACGCAACCAATGTTCCACGCAGAAAACACGAAATGGCATCATCAGCGTCCTGATCAGTTACGATGAAAAAAGACGCGAGGTGGCGCTATCAGTCCGTGAACTGTGCGGTTGGTTCAGAAGGAAAAAATGTGAAATGGCGCCGATACTTGAGAGGCGTTTCGCTGGAGTTAGAAAATCCGTACGCAGAAAGCTACGATCACAGACTGAATGGAATTTTCACCAACTATGAGTTTCCATAGAACTGTAGATTCTTCCCAGACGAGACAACCACTCAATAGCTACTCAAGGTAAGCTTGTATAAAACATTAGATAGCAAAACGTTACGTTAAAGATAAGCATTGTCGGACACTCGAATCAGATGACTAATATTCACACAATTGTTTTGCAAATAATGCAACACTGGGTATGTATTTTGGGTTAGCACCCAAAGCCACGAGTATATTCCTCTTTTGTGTGTAACAGCAAGTTATTGTAATTATTAATTCTACTTTTTACGCTCTCCTGTGCGACGACATCTCGTGACTCTCTTTTCCACTCGCACTGTCTTTCGTCCGCAACGGAAGGGACAAGGCAATTGTTACATCGATTCAAATCGTTACTATATTTATTATGGCAGCATGGTATACATTACGCTCCGGTACATATTCCGAGCGCACGATACGCGTCGTCTCGTGTGAGCGCATTAATACGAATAAAATATATATAATTGAAATTGCGTACGGATGTCTAAAAAAATTCGGAATGTTTGGATCGTTATTTTTCGAAAAAGATATATTACACGACTGATACTTCATTGTCCGTTCATGCCTCTTGTACGTGAACGATCGTATCGTACACACGTTATATAAACTAAATCGCACAAACCAAGGGAGAGAGAAGGAAGGAGAGAAACAATATTTTTGCTGTACAATAAATATAAAAGAAGAAAAAAACATTTCACATGTCGCGCGAGCGTTAAAGCGTCAAGTTTTACAATGCCGAGGACCAGCCAATCTTTTCTCGTGTGTGTTTTGGATATGTGCATGCACGCAATACACTGAGAGAAAAAAATAAATTAATCTCATTAAAACTATAGTCATTTTGTACGTCAACCATAGTTTTTCATTGTTCTACTAAAAAAAAAAAACGTAACAGTAGCAATATTTATACAAGACTGTTATCACTAACACTAAATACAAACATGGTTTCCCTGACTATAATTATTTTTCTATGCAATTATATAGCCACACATACGAAATACTTTTTTCTCGATGTATCACATATATGGTGTCTCGTCAAGAACCTGGTCTATCTCACTATACCGTGATAATGTCGACATTCCTTTGTTCTTTGGGAGAAGAGATTTCGCTTCGATGGTAATTCGCGAAAGAGAGAATTCGCGTACTCGAAAGCACGCGCGATTCTCGCACCGTCTACGTAATTGTACAATTGTACAATTGGGATTCAACATAATTATATATAATTACATAGACGGGTGTACGGTATCCTTCGTGCTTTGCATCGATATCCTCGTAGGAGCCTCTTCGTCGAGGTCATTTGGAATCCAATCCTCGTCCTCTTCGTCCGCATCTTCGTGCACTGAATCTTTTCTATAAAGAGAGTCTGAAATTATTTTTTTTACTTACAAAACAAAGAGCAACAAGCGCGAAGACGGGTGATTAACTTTCCGACAGCTTTTTTGTCGCTTGAAATGACAAGCAAGATAGCAAGATGACGTCTAACGACGTCATTAAGACGTTATTAAGACGTCTATGACATCTTAATGACGTCTTTAGATATCACCTTGCTGCTTGAGGAGTGTTTGGTTATTTTGGAGACTTTCTTTTCGGATCTATAAGATCAGATTCGGATCAGAATCGAGAACATACTAACTGATATTTGTTAGTAGATGGCAGAAACAAGGATTTCGGGCAATCCTTGAAGTAGGGCCAGCATTCCCCGTGAAACTTGCCGCGATTTTCCGCTTCGACGTATTCTTTGAGGAGATTCGCGAACGGTGATCGACTAGCACTAGAAAGCAAAAAAAAAAAGAAAGAAAAAATTAATGTTACTTTCATTTCATATCGGGATATCTGAAGATCCCGTTTAATTGTCAGACAGCTCGTCGAGACGAACTTACGTGAAGAACAGCTTCAGCATCTCGCCGATTAAACCGAAGTTGCTCAAAGGGTGTCCTTGGATCTCGCAAATCGCTCTCAACAAGCACGCCTTCCCGTTCATCCCCAAAGTGCTAAGCATGTCCTCGGCGGTACCGTAGAGCAGGGCCCTCTCGCCACCGTGAAACGCATTCTTCGGCGGCGTTATCTCCCGTTTGTGCAATCTGCGTTTAATGAACGCTGCGATGAAATCCGCCATCATCATGCCGGCCTGACGGCTCTTCAGGTTCCTGTCGAAGGCTGGCGGCAAGGCGCCGTAGGGATTCTCGTTGTCGGTCAAGCCCAGCTTGTCGAAGTCGACTATGAACGAAAGTTTGCAATTCTATCAAACGAATGATAATTTTCATAGTTGATTGCTCTTTCTTCCTCTTTATCGCTGTCTTTCAAATATCATAATCTGCACGGAAAGGAGATGTAAGATACGCATTACAAGTAATATATAGTTGTGAGTAGCATCGCTGCATCATTCTGGTTATCTTTGATGTGTACGGTTGATATGTGTGATTCAGTTACTGGTAGTACATCGATAGTCGAACTCACTCGTGAACGGTAGACTGATGGTCATATTGCTGAGAAAACCGTAAGGTGGATGCCTGACGAACGGCAACGCCAACGTTGGCGTGATCGTCATGACGGTGCCGGGCGGTAGCGCAATTCGACCATCGTTTGTGAACCAAAAGACCCTCTTCTGCCTGTGATGTGATCTCTGATGGGAAGACTCGCCTGTAGTCCTGGCATCGGACGCGGACGATGATTCCTTCAGGACAGCGAGACCGAGTAGCAACAGGAGTCCTTTCCGCGTCATTTTGCTTGCTCGTGCAGCTGCAATTAGAATTGACATCGAACGGTTCAGAACGGTGCTCTGAGAACAAAATGTTCGGTAACTATAATTGCATAGTGGAATAATTACAGTCGGCAAATCCATTTTTCTAGCAAAAACACTACTGTAATGTTGCAACACGTGTCGTCAATAACAATCTCATGATGCTTATGACTGCTTTTTGTTAAAACAAGACAAAAAGACATAATTGGTGGTAAAAATAACTATGATTTGTGATAAAAGTAAACTATTTTTATAACTATTTTTCTTCTCAGTGCGTTCCAAGTGCATTGATATTAGCCTAGACGTTCCTTATCTTTGTAATGTATCAAGAAAATTTTATTTTCTTCTTCAAGAAATTTCACACCTCTTCGGATAGCCTGGATTGCGAGTCGTATAAATTAATTTGATAGTTCTGTTTACGTATCTACATAATTTTCAGTCTCTCTCAACGAGGTGCGCCGTTTCAAGTAGGCCGCATGACAGATCCCGCGAAATTATTTGCGATAAATCCCGCGTCGCTATACGATACGTGTATCATGTATTGCAGCCCATGACGGTACTCGGTGTGAATCTCAAATGAGTGTCGTCGGCATATGTCAAGGGGAAAAGTCTAGACACGCGGATTTTGTCGTTCGCGCATGTCGCCTGGTTACATCCTGTTCGCGCGAATGTTCTCGCCTAATTGATATTCGGGACGAGAGCGCCTCGAGCTATTGCTTCAGCACGAATTCGGCATTGGTAATTTAATTTGTGGGTAAAGAGGGTAGCTTTCGTACGCGACTGTCATATGTACGCATGCACGTACATTGTTGTCGCGTCGCGTATAATCGGGCTTTCGCGATCAAATTATTTCCAACGTTATATCTGAAATATCTCAGTTTGGAAAAGAATGTTTCTTTCTACTGCTTGAATATTCTAATATTCTGAAAGGCACGAACAAACGCGGCGAAGGTCTACGAAATCTCATTCAATGTCAAGACGAGTCTCAAAGATCCACGTGTCAACAGTGAAAGAAATCTAGTGCATTGAGAGAAAAGAGTAATATTTGCGATTGTAATTGTACGATGAGATAATTAAGATAAAAGTACCAATGCCCGAACATAATAACCTAATTTTTTGACATTCTTTTTGTTTAGATACAAATATTTAAACTTTCAACATAATATATGTACAAGTATTGAATATATGTAAATTCTATTCATATTCTATGTTGAAAATTTAAATATCCATATTTAAAGACCAAAACAATAAGAATGTCCAGGATTAGGTACGATTAGGAATGTCCAGGAATTGATACCTTTACCTTACAATCAGGAAAACTAATGTTGTAGTAAAAGCTACTATAGTGTTAATGACAAAACTCCCTTGCAAGTAAATTGATTATACTGTTAACTACCACTTTTTTTATCAAAGCAATCAAACCAATGAGGGTGGCAGCGAGAATTTACTTTATTTTAGTGAGATTTTTTTCTCAATATTTGTAACTTTTATTCGGCGCTACGTCCTTCTCGTACGGTGATTACACGCTTTCGCGCATTCGGTCCGATGTACATCGCGATGTATCGCGATGTAAGATATACCTTACCGGCTAAATCGCACGGCGCACTGTCTTAATTATGACAAACGCATTGCACGATGCAACTTGATCGTTATCGCGTGCCGTCCTATCCTCTCTTCACATCGAACTGTGTGACGCACCGTCGTTGTCGTCGACCCATCGTGGTCCCTACTTACGGGACATCACTGTTACCGGAACATTACGTGTGGGCCAGGCTCACTAGGCTTCGGTCATACGACCAGTTCACGGGGCTCCTTTGATCGATGTAACAGTATATAAACTGCAAAACCGTACTTAAGGGGAACCGAGCGACTGGGCTCTGCTCTAGAAAAACGTGCGAGCCGCGTGTCTGTCCGTATATAGGGGAGACCGGGTCAAGTTGGTGCAAGGGGTATGTCGCTCATGTATTTCGTTTATGTGGGAAAAGAGATCGCAAAATGTTCCTTCTAAAACATAGGTACTCTTTCTAAGTTTCATTTTAAGGAAACGAAGATGATAGCAGCAATCAGCAGGCACAGTTATCATCACACTAACATTATAGTAGCACTTCTTTTCGCTTCCTGATTATATTTCACTGCAATTATATTCACATGCAATTATAATTGCAAATATCAAAGACATGTTTTTTTAGTACACGCATACAAATATTTTGGTAAATATTTTAGCGAGTACGCGACTGAAATATCTACCAAACTGGATCGAGAGAGCTCGTTTCCACTTGATCGCACCTGGAATATTGTCGCGACGCGACAATACATCCGTGACTCGAAAGAGTAATATTTTAGTCTGATATGTAAAAAGAAGGAGAGAAAAAACGTCTCTCGCGAGTCATCATTTTTTGAGAAATCGGCGAAACAATCGCCGTTCGTCGACTCGGTTTGATCTAGATCGAGACGGGCGGGCTGGCCCACATTGTCTAACACGGCGAGAGTGAAGTTTGGCGGCGAGTAAGAAAGGTGGGCCGACCGCTAAGCGCATCGCGCGGAATACCGAATGATTGACCCGCATATTTTGATACGCGTGCGCGTCCATACGAGCGCACGAACAGCGAATTAAATCACCTGCAATTAGGTCCCGGTCCTACTCCGATACCGTCGGAAGAATCGCGCGAGTCACTCGTTTTTGCACGGGCACCGTTAGCTACGTCGAAACCGGGTCGATTTTAAGACCCAATCCCTTCGGGCAGTTCGACGCCCCGAATTGCGAATTCGCGAGCGCGTACGGCGCGATTTGGTGATAACGGTTGCTGGACCATCGACGACGACCCCGGTTCGTTTATTGTCGCGATGCGGGATGACCGGTGTAAGAAGGGAACGGAGTTTGTTCTTTGTTGCAATTCAGCAGCGGAACCGTCCGGAGTTCCCTCCGAAGCGTTTCCGCTAGACGCTTGCGTAACTCTTAATTAAGGATAAAATACTCAGTTATTGATTCCCTTGCTCTTGAAATCAGTGACAATTGTTTTACTTATAAAGTCCTCTGGAATCACAAAATGCAAGCAACAAGTTCAACGCTGCAACCCTGGAAAAACCAGATTTTCTTTGGTTTTCTGGATTGTCCATAAGACTAAGAGGATATCAAAATTTGAGTGTTTTACCCTATAATATCGAGTCACGACCAGAGAAGTTACTGTTGTTGAATCTCTCTATCCCGAATCGAGTGTCCGATTGAACTTTGGTGAACGAAACGTCCCACGATTACGCCGCGTCGTTTACGGTCCCATTTCAGGCGTCGCGTTTCCACCAAAGCGTCCGATTTTATATGCACCCATACACGTATACAGATGAACATTTTATGTTTCTTCGCATCAAAATGCAACGAATTCCTGACCTAGTGCCTTATATATCCGCGCTTAACGGTAGTATCGTTAATGTAATCGCTGTACTTTTCAAGTATTACGTTCTCGGCGACCTTTGGTAAAAAAAAGTTTTAACAATATGTTATCTTTCTGTGTTCTAAACCCGTCTATCGCTCGTCTATCGTTCAACACACACATGCACACATATTTAACGCTCGCAATTTTCTTCTTCCTTAGTTAATTAGCCTTCGACCTCGACATCGGCTAGATCTTGCAAACTGCACGGAGAAAATGTTGTAGTAAAAGAACAATAAAATTTTTGTAATCTTGGATCATGCAGAAATTATGACTGAAATTACTATATATTTGTTCAAATTGTTCAATTTGTTATGTACGCTTAACTTTTCACAATAAAACTATTGTAATTGTTTGAATGTTTCTTATATCTATATTCTCTCTAATAAATCGTCAAATTTACTATTTCTAAATTATAGTAATTTATACTACAAATTTCAATTTTAGCTTTATAGAAAACATTGTAAGAAGAAATATAATTTTAACGTAATTTTTACTACACTTTTTTTTAACATAACGTTTTTTATTATATTTTTACTACATTTTCTCTCAGTATACGATTGATACTAATTACGACGACGAACAATACTAATATCTGCGAAACTTTTTGAGTGATTGAAATGTCACTTTATTAGGTGATCTCGATGATCTCAAATACGAGTGATCAACAAGTCGATCGAATTAATTTAAAAAATTGAGAATTTACCGACAATTTACCGTTTATTCCCCTTTGTAATCGAAACGATCGGTTTCCAAACTGACCCGTGCGAGACTCGAGAGAGACCTTAACGTCTCTTACTCGCGACAGTGCGTGATGCTGCAGCAGCAAGCATCTCGTCGGATAATTAATTTATAATGCATAATCCGCGTGCGTATGTTTGCTTGCGTGTTTGTACGTAGCCATGTGTGACGAGAAGTAATTACACTTCGTGCGCTCGTAATCAGCTACTTTCTAAACATAAGCGACGAGTGTTTAACACATAAACAATTAAATTGAAGCGCAACGTCGTCGTAATTAGAATTAAAAAGTACATACAATTAATCTCGACTGGTACTCATCGAGGAATATATGAAATAATTGAGAGGATTTTGATTTTGAAATCATTTCAACGATCTTTATGAATGGATACACGGACGTACGTTTATTTTGTGTATTTTGTGTACGTAAATTTACAGTAATGTAAATTTTTTCCGTACTTCCATAAACGATAGTTTATACAGGGTATCTCAGAAAAAAATCTCTTTTTTTCTAATAACTTTGACTAAGATCTTTTTTCTAATAACTTTGTAGATTTTTAGTTATTAATTAGATGACATTAATATATTACCACGAGCCGCCAATTTTCTTTAATTATTAAATTAAATTAATATTATGCCTTTATAAGAGCTTCGAAGGTTCTTCGAAGATACCTTGTATGAAGTACAAAAAAAAATTTTTAATCTCACAAATTAGTCATTCTCTGCACTAACCATATCTTTGTGTTCCAACAAAAAGATATATTTTTTTATACGTCAACGTCTGTTATATATAACACTGATTGGAAAATATACTTTTTGTTTCTAGATCTGACAAGAACACCGACAGTGATTAGTGGCGTTCCCTACGACTATGTTACAACTTCGCGGAAGATATCAATGTCTATGGAACACCGGAGAATCCGGCAGGTTAGGCTGAATGCCTGAGCGCATACAATTAATTTACAATTAATTTAATACTGTATTTTTGCGCTTAATGAAGTTCAACAATAAAAATTGGGATTCTCGCTATAAAAATCTTCGACTGAGATTGCGAGCATGAAAAAACAAACGAAATAGTATATGTCAAATAATACTTGTATGAGTAGAAAACGTATCACAGAGCATTCATAAACACATTTTAGGAACTAATTTTATTCGTTTAATACATTGAATTTCTTAAAAGAACTCTTGTTTTATATGAAAGTTGATATGTTGCGTGCGCACGTATTTTGATTTAAATACAAAGAAACAATAAAAGTAGGAAAATATACAGATAAAAGATAAAGTGAGTTACCAGTCATTATCTCTCGTTCTCTCCTTCTCTGAGAGATTAAAGAACCGCCGCGAAAGTTATTCATATTCGTTCTGTAGTTCTGGCAATTAAGAGGTGAGTCACTGGTCTTGAGTACTGATGCACGAATTGTGATCGTTCCTCTCGTAATATGAATGAGAACGTGCTCACACGCACCCGTTAACGCGTTGATATCAGCACGCGACGCGAAATCGAGCATCCAATAAATGCAAAATCTACCACGGTACTCGCCGATGCGTACATACCATCTATCCGTACGAAAGCGAATGTGGCGATTCGCGGATGTCCCGCTGCGTCTGCACGATCGAAGAAGAGACGAAGTGAATTTTCCTTTATTAACCGTCTCGCCTCTCTTTGCTTCTCTAAGAAAGCAATCTAGAACTTAAAATGCATGACGCCAACGTCTTAATCGTGAATTTTGACCGACTATCTTGGGGCAATTAATAATCAATAATTAACAATCAAATTATCCGTCATAAGAAAACTTTAATCTCATGGAATTGATCGAAGGGAATTGATTAATCAAGCGTATTAATCAGATATCGTGACAAGGAATCTCTTCGACGGGACGTATCGGCGATGTCAGCTGTCGAAGATCTTCCTCGCGTCTCTCCACGCACGACGACGATCAAGTCGAGGCCACGGCCCGGATACGATGGGGACTGACTGAGTTCAGACCCGGGTCTGAAACCAGTCGAATGGGCCCAGCTGAGCGCACACTCGCGGGTGAGTAGGCCTGCGGAAAATCCGGGTTTTCAGAGAGGTGCGAAACACCGGCACGCGAGGTCGCGAATGTCCTGACATGTGACTCCATAATTCGAACTTTGGTATTCGACGCAAGTACTGTGCGTGTAGAGATGACGTGATAATGATAACTTGCTAACAGAAAAGGAAGAAAGAAAATTGGTACTGATATGTTAATCATGAATTAATTAGCAAGTATTTGAATAAGTGTCGAGAGTCGTTCCGGTGAATTCGTCGTTGTACTCGTTCGCGTATCACGTTTAATCAAAATTTCGCGAACGATCACTAAACTTCAAGACTTCAAGAAACTTCTCTCGTTTCCTCTTTTTACGGAATCAATCACACGTAGGGGTCTGTTCTATAATCGCGAGATTTTAACGAGTCAAGCGTTGGGGCCGGCAAGATCTCCTCGTCTCTTCGTTAATTTTAATTGGATCTGGTCGTAGTAGACATTTAATTCACTGATCAATTTGTTTAGGAAGTACTAACTACCGAAAACAATGAAATCACGAGGTAACGAGCCGCGGCTGATGTTCTAATTACTTTGCCACCGTGCATCGCGAGAGAGACGACCAAGTGATATATCAGTTCCTCAATTCAGCGTCGGTTTCAGAAAACGCCCGTTCGCACTGCGAAAATATACCTACACAGGGATTCCGTTATTCCGCATCCACGCCATGTGGGCTAGCCGATCGATCAGTAATCATAAGCCTCGCGTATCCACTACACGTGCCTAACCACGGAGATTAACCCGCTCACTTATTTTAGCCAGCAACGCCGTTCGTCCCCGCGGGATCCACCTGTTCGTCGTAGTAACACTTTTTCGAATAGCGACATCAATAAAAAGAAAGAGAGAGAGAGAGAGAGAGAGAGAGAGAGAGAGAGAGAGGAAGAAGAAGCGAATAGCGACATTAGAGAAAAAAGTCTCCGCGTCGACAAGTGTAATGCTCGATTAAGTCTAACATCACCGAGGAAAGTAAGAGAGAAGGAATTAAAGAGTGAGAGAGAGAGGGAGACAGGTATTTTGTGGTCACTCATCGCTGGCGAGAAAATTTCATTACAAGAGTATACATTTTACCATGGAAGAAAATAAAAAATAAATAAAATAAGTTAAGACAAATGATCGTTCGATAATCTCTTCTTCCAACAGTATCTTTGAGCTTATGTGAGAAAGTCGAAAAGAGGAGACAGAAGAGACAAAAGGAGAACGAGAGAGTAAAAGAGAGACGAGTTTGAGAAGAGATAGGCAGAGATAGGCAGAGATAGGCAGAGAGAGAGAGAGAGAGAGAGAGAGAGAGAGAGAGAGAGAGAGAACGGGGGAGAGCAATTAAAATCTGGCTTATCTTTTATTCAACTGAGCCAACACTTTCACGTAACATAATTGCGCACGTTATCTCACCTTTATTCAACAGCCGCAATATTCCCGCGATGGTACGCGGCAATCTTGCGGATGGGTCCGCTGGCGGCTGATATGTAGGGTAATCTTGACACACACTGATTAACAGAGCTTATTAACAGCAGTGCGGCGCACTGTGTCTGCACCACGCTGCTGCCTGCCTGTCTGCCGTGGATCCTCCGCGACGGTGGGTGACGGTGACGGTGGGTGCGACGATTCTCCTCCTCGGCGGCGTTTTCTTTCGGAGACTCCGTCGCGTGGACACGCGCGACGATGTAGCCACGAGAAACGAATCGCCAATTATTCTCGCACGTCACGCATTATCTCCCTTATCTTTCGCGAATTTGGCCATTGTTGTTTGTTGTTGTCGCCGCCGCCGCCGCCGCCGCTTATCGCGCGCCGTACATTGTCGGCCGTAAAAAATGGAACGTAAGAGTGCGAGCGAAGCAACGATCCAGGCCGCCAGGGCGTTCGCGCCCAGTTCGCCTCAACAGTTGTTCCGTTCCGTTCCGTGCTATCTGGAGAACGGACGGCCGAGCGGATATCGACCGACGCACCTCTCGAATCGCGCGCGATCTATCATCGCACGGATCGCCGTTGACTTCCGTCCAATTCTATCCACGCCGTGACATCGTGCCTGCGAAAATGATCGTGTTTGAATGTCGCGCAGGCAAGTCTCTCGCTCTAAGGACTGCGTAACGTGTGATTATAATGAAAAATATAGTCAATTCCCGCGAGTGCTCCTTAGCGCACGCGACGCGCGCGTCCGCGCACCCACGTGCAGACGCGATTTTCGCGGGTTGAATACACGAATCTTCTGCGTGCCCTCCTCTCGGGGTGTTCTTTATCAACGGATTTATCTTTGAGCGTATCAATTGTGAGGTATATCTTTGAGGTATATCTATCCTTTCTGCGAACGCACCGTCTTTCCTATATCAATTGGTCTTCGCGGCATCAATCTGAATCAATGTTGATCGTTCCGGGGAACACTGTGAGCACTTCGTCAAGCACTCGAACCGCTATCTCGCTGTTATCTGTATTAATCGCTGGCTTTGATTTATCACTTCTTCCGAAACATCGCGGTTGCTCTTTATCATTGTCGACTCGTGCACATCTAGATTCAAGATTTATTACCTATTTTCGGGGCACTCTCTCTCTCTCTCTCTCTCTCTCTCTCTCTCTCTCTCTCTCGCTCTCTCTCCCCCTCTCTCTGTTCGTGCCTACTTGTCTCGCGTACCGATTTTTCTCCTCCTTGAGATTTACATATCGATCGATGGGTGTTCCTCCGTTGGATCCGTTCGCACTCACGAGGGTGATATGATCGTTTCGGCGACGGTACGATTCACCCAGGTGCGATGCATCAAACGGCCCGTGCCCGTGCGGATGTGCACCGGATTCGGTCTCGTGCGCTCACTCGCCAAGTTAGACCGCGAGTCCAGTGCTCTCGCGCCGACACCGCGATACCGACTTTCAGACTAACCGCGCGTTCCCGCACGCGCCGTTGTTTCCGCACGGCGATGCGCGGACCGCACTCTCCCACTTCGCGCGTGAACACGCGCACCCTCCTCCTCGTTCCTCTCTCTCTCTCTCTCTCTCTCTCTTTCTCTCTGCTTGTCGATCCTTGTGCAAGAGGATCGTCTCCTCTATGATCTCCTCGCGATGTCTTTTCTTCGAGAGAAGAGGTACGACCCGGCTCAAGTTTTTCGAAGAAAATGAAGTTCTGAAAAGTTCGCAGGGAGACCGAAGCAAATTTGCCATCAAGGAGCAAATTACATGTGCGTTTTGTTTGCTGTTTAAGGCTCCCGGCTACTCGACTACTCTGCGCAACTCTTGATTGACTACGTCAGAAGCGAAGAAATGCACGCCCGAAATTCCTGCAAAGTACGTCGAAATGAAAAGATATACCCAACAAATAATACTTGCGATCTATTAAGCACACCTGTCAAATACTCCGAATATTTTCCTTTTGCTCTAATAATCAATGAATAACCGTAAACGTTAACGTGACATGCAACCTTCGTTTTTAACCTACATTTCCTCGTTATTTTGTAATCACGTTAATTTCACAGTTATGTATTGATTGTCAGAGCAAAAGGACAGTGTTCGGAGTATTTGAGAGATGTGCTTAATCGACTGCAAATGTCATTTTTTGGATTCATCTTTTTATTTCGACGTACTTTGCAAGGATTCGGATATGCATCTCCTCACTTCTGTGATCGTCACAAATCAGGATAGTCGCGAGAAGTAGTCAGGAACCTTAATGTGAGAGGAGCAGTAAAAAGGGAATCGCGAGATGTTTCTTTTAGAATATAGAGATACATTTCTTTGAGTTAAAATTGATAAAATATTGCAGTCGAAAACTTACTTCAACTGTCAACTTATAGATTTGCACTAGACAGAGTGTCAACTGTATCCAGTACCCTGATGACGAGCTTTCTCTATTCGAACATACGGGAGAAAGAAGAGTGATATTAACGAACAAATAATCGAAACGCGATTACTCTGCGATCGATTTTTCCGATTCTGTTCTGTGCGCGGAATACGAAACTTGCGTAGGTGTACGCGCCAAGAGTCCCTTCGGAGCTATTTCGGTATCAATGACGTGCGCCAAATTTTCGCATATCGGTTAACACGCGGTGAGGAATTCGGAATAAAAAGTCGTCGCGCACGATGTGTCGTAAGGAATAGCGGAGACCTGGCCGCGAACCCGCTTTGCGCGAGTCAGCTGACGCTGTTCTGGATCTAAATATGGAAAGATATTGGGAACAAGAGAACGAAGAGACACACGGAAAAGGAAGACAGGCGTTACGCAAATGAAAGAGCCGGCCGGGAATGAAAAAGGGGAAAATCGAGGGGATCCACGAAGATAGCGGTAAAGGCGTCCGCCGCCGCCGCGTGCGAGGAGAGAGAAAAAAGGGGGTTAAACAGGGGAAAGGTAGCTACGGTGGAAGTATAATGAGATTACCGTTAACAATGATGAAAACGACAGGTGTGAGAATAACGATTAGTGTGCAGCAACGCTTTTTGCAAGAGAATTTGATCCTTGGGTGTCGCGAATTCTTCTGTCAGATCCCGATGAGAAAGCAATGATGAAGCAAAAAAAAAAAAAGAATTGAAGCCTCGCGTATAAAAGCAAACAGAATACTTTCGAATTGTATAATTTTAATGAATTGTCCTTTAATCAAGTCTTTTTATGGAACTTGCGCGGCGCGCTAAAACTTTGTGTTTGATTAAAGGGAAGACTGATGAAGAAAGAGCGATTAATTATCAGGGGAAAATTAAATGAATACACAGGGAAGATCAAAAATTTCACAACATGCTTTTATTTCATTATCTTGTCTGCGACGCGAACAGTATCTTAATGCAATAATACTAATCCTAAATTACGTTTTATGGACTCGAATCGTCCTTGAAGAAAGGCGAGGAAATTCACGAATGGTAACCACCACACGGGGCGGACTTTCCCTTTTCTTTCTTTCTTTATCTCTTATACTATACCATTCGCTTGTTCGCACCTCCCGCGGGAGGATGCTACATATTTTTCGCATCTCGAGAACGTCAAGAAGAGAACAAAAAGAATGAAAAGAAATGAAATCGCGGAAGACCATCGGAGTCGCGAGAGTCAGGTCGCGCGCGGAACGCTCTTGAAGAGCAAGTCTAATAGAAATTACGGTCAATGAAAGAAAAGAGCGAGGAATACAAAGGACAAAATAATATGTATACATCTGTGTGACACAATTAGTAAAAACTACGTTAAATGTAACTGTAAATTAATATGTTTCTTCACACATACTGTGTGTGTATACGTATATGTGCGTATTATACACTTACATTCAATACGTTCGATTTGTCTCTATGGCACGTGTACATTTTATGCTGTGTGTATATGTGTGTGTGTGTGTGTGTGTATTTGCGAGAGCGCATGCACGAAGCGATCAAACATTTGTTTATAAAGGTTGGTCAAACAACGTTCATCTCACATGTTAAATTATTGTCTATCCACTTGGCTGATATACTTATCAGCGCGGAGAGTGAAACTCCCTCTCGTCGCGGTTCTAACAGGTTCGCGCGGCAGCGTCCGGCAAACTTACTTTTCTCACTTTTAGAATTTGTAGTGAATTGCGAGATGCCAAATGGTCTACCGAACGCGAAAACTCCGAATCCAAGAACAAAGAATACTGAATCCAAGAACAAAGAAAAAAGAGAAACACACCGGTAAGTACAATTTTCCTGTTGATAAAGCGCATTGAATCTCGACAGATAAATCAAACTTTGATGTATTTGACTATAAAATAATTAATTTAACTTTGATTATTATTTTAGTCGCTGGATCGCTAGATTATTCGCAGTTTCTGGTGGAGTTACAATTGGTAACGATTGCTCAACTATTGCGCGCTAAATGTCAGGGACATCCAAATCGGAATATTTGAATACGACGATATCCTTGATTTAAGAACATTATTGGAGGATTTTACTATGACGTTGATATTTTTACGATCCTAGGTAAAGATCTTGAAATCTCTCTTGCATACGCTCTCGCGCGTGTATGTGCCTATTTGTTACGTGTGATTCGATGTACAATGAAAATCAACAATAACGCGCGCTCAGGAACGAAGAATGTGAGAGAAAAAGGGAGAGAAAAAAAGAAGTCGAGATCAAGGAATCTCGATCGTTACATGACAATATAGCCGTTCGGCACATGAAAAAAAAGCCACGATGATTCTCATACACGTGATCGGCAACGCGGGAACCGCGCGACAAGAGAAACACTTCCTATCCGTTTTTCGTTGTTTCGCGTTACATCACGTGAGAAGTAGAGAAAAGAAACAATATTCGAAGTTTTCTACGAATTACAAGACGAAAATCAGATCGATATCATCGTCGTCGTCCTCGTCTGAATTTAAAAAGAAAAAATCCTTGCTTATTTGCCGAGTAAAAACGATGCGTGCGTATAGCAGTTAACGTTGTTAGTACTTATCAGTATATAGTACTTAATTTCATACCAATAACAGGTATTCATTGATATATGTATTATCTGGATGCTTAAAAGATATTCTAAATCAAATAACAATAATTTAGTTCAACTATCTATTCAGTTAAGGACTAACAAGAAGAAAAACTTGAAAAATGTTAATATAATAGCGAAGGGTGAAACATATAATATACAATCGGAAAGGTTGTCTTTTTGTGACTTTCAGAACGCATCCGTCTTGCCCAATGGAAAAATTTTTTCATTGACTAACAAATTCTTCTATTGGACAAAACGTTCCGAAAGTCACAGAAAAAAATTGGACAACTTTACTGACGCCGAGTGCACAATTTGAAATTAAGAGCCCGTGAAAGCTGCGACTAGGAAACTCTAACGACACAAACACACACTAATATAAGTCACATTATTTCTATATCCTTTCCATTATTCGACGTTTTGTCCCAGGTGCGATCCAGCCACCTCAGGTATCCATCCAGATAATAAACATAACATCCTAAATTGCATCACAGCCTGTCGAGATAACGTTAATATTGCAATACGCGCGCTTTTTATTCGCTCGGAGGACGATGGACGGCCGACTCGCGACGCGTTTCACGCTCAAATTCGTTGATCCCAAGAGAAAACGGAAGTGTCCGGGAGATAGCTATTTCTCTCTTTCTTTCTCTCCTTTCCTCTATTTTTCTTCTCGCGAGTATGACATCTGTCAAGGTAAATAGTTTTAACAACGGCGCAAGTCGGGTCGAGTTAGGTACGTCAGAAATTAAGATGCGCGAGAGAAAACGGACATTTTCCCGCGCGCAGTCGACTGCATCGTATCGCGGCGACGTTGACGTCACAATGATGATCCATATTTTTTCTCACATTCTTTCTTTCGACTATTTTTTTCCCCCGTTAATAGTACGTATATAACTATCGATCTTATTACTGTATAACAAGAGCATCCTTAGGATCGTGCGACACTACCGTCGTATTAAAATAGATTTAAATCGCACTTTGTACATCGTCAACAAGTTTGTCCATGAACACAACTTCACATTCCATCTCTAACTAACGTCACCACGCCGATAACACGCTTTACTAACGGCAGATTATGTCGATTCAACACTGTAATTATTCAATGTGCGACGGATCCCACCATGTGCACTGTCGAAAGGGTTCTTTCTCCAAGCGAATTCTCACACACACGGTAGTACGCTCACTTAGTCTCTCGCATTCTTCAATACACACACGCTCTCTTCACTGTCATTCCCTCTCTCTCTCTCTTTCACACATCGAAGTACGCCATATCGTTATCTTACAATTTCGTTCACTAACGGAGCAATCAGCAAAAATTTAACTATTTAGTAACTAGTAAAATAAGTCTTTGGTGTTTGTACCTCTCTATCTCTCTTTTTATACCGCGTGTCATCTTCTCCCCTTCTTTTTCTTATCCAAGCCCTTTATGCTCGTTGTATATAGACATTACATATTTACACATGATGCTAAATTCATCATTCGGTTTCGTTACTTCGTATACAAACGGATAATCGTTATCCCTCGTTCTCCCCATCGAAGAACATAATTTGCGCAAAAATGCATCAGTCTGTGGTGTATACGACTGTTATATATATATGTGTGTGTGTGTGTATATATACATATATATCTCGTATAATTTTGATTTGAATCACGCGCTGCATTCTACACGCGACAGTAAATGCGAATTGCCCGACGATGGGGAAAATAGTACGATTTTTTTTCTTAAATGAACGATCTGGATGCGAGATTCGTCGTGGGATCAACATCGACCGAGTCGATGTTGAATCGCACGTCTGCAAAAACTATGATAAAGGTAAAAAAAATTAGCGAGGGCGAGGTTTCACGCTTCGTCGCGAAAATTGAGCAACGGATCGGTGATAGAGCGTGGTTCAAGCGGAAAGACAACGTTGAAAGTTCTGAACGGAGATGCGGTCTAGGGCGAGATCGGAGAATCTATAAATGTCGCTGGAGAGAAAAAGAAAACAAAATGAGAATAAAAAGAAAAGAAATATACCGAAATTACGAAGCACCATGACCGATGAATACACGACCATGTCTCACTGTGTTAGTAGCGGAAAAGAAATTAAACATTATAATATGCGTCTGCACGATTTACACTACCCTGTCAATTGTACTGTTAGGAAGATTCATTTTTTCTTGTTTTTCGGGACACGCAATTAACTTACAAAGCAAACTGAATTTCCTTGCAAAAGAGAAGAATGCGCGAACATCTATCATTGCTCTTCTTTCTTTTTTTCAATGTTGTAACTCTACGATGATCTACTTACATAGACGTTATAAAGATAATACAAATATATCTTGTATATCTTCGATATATAATATATTCATATATCGAAATAAAAATTAACATTGAAAAGGAAATCTATTGTGAGCAGGAACGCTGTTTCTAGAAACGATTTTACACTTTTTACGTAAGTTACTTATACCCGATGTGACGGAGATAGATATCTTCGGATATTTCTCTCTCTCTTTCTATCTACTCGGTTAACTAACAGCCACATCCTCATTTCCTTCTTCTCTCCCACTCTCCCTAATACGAAGAACGAATCTATATGCTTTTGTACTTTTGTGCGGTTGCGGTGATATTTTTTTTTCTTCTTTCTTATTTTCTACTGTTTTTTTCTTTTCTCGTCTTAATTTTTTTCTTAATAGCGTGCTTAAATAGCTGTCAGACTTGTTTCTCTTATAAGGCAAAAAGTTTCGCGCGATGCTCGGCTAGCGACTTTGGCACTCGTTGGTTTCGGTTTGATTCGACACAGACTCCTTTCGCGCGTCCCTTTTTTAATAATTGTACACACACACACACACACACATATATGCACATGTGTGTGTGTATGTGTGTGATTTGATATTCCAACCATTGGATCGCGGACAATTGAAAAGGAGAAAGTCTTTTCTTCTGTAAATTTAGTTCTTTCTTCTATATCACAATTTATTTTTTTTCCAATGACCTAGACGTGATTTAATCGGTGCGACGCGGCGGATCACTTTGACCTCGGCGACCGTTGGGATGTCCGTCGAAGGGTGCTATGCCGATTATCGTCGATAACAGACGGATTTAAGGAGAATGCGTTTGAAGTGTGTTACGTTGCGCGCGCGCGCGCACAATCGATTGATCGATCGACTGACCGCGATTTTCTATAGTTAACGCTCTAGAAATAGCGTTCCGTATATTCCACGAGGCCAGCTTTGAGCATTTTCACGAACACTATTAAAATGCGTGTTCAAATTTATCACACATCTCCGATACGTGACGTCATTACATCGTGCGCGTAAGCGGTTCCGTGTTTTAATGTACAAAATGCCTGAATACGTATATATTCAAATGTTCACGTAGGAAACAGAGTCTCGTGTCATTCGGGCTGGCATGTCATTGTTTCGTCAAAAAACCTTATCATTTAGCAATATATATATATATATATATATATATATATATATATATATATA